GACGAAATAGTTGAATTCTTGGAAACTTTTGCAGTTTGCTTTGGAGGCTCGATTCAGTCAGTTGTTCAAAATATGAATGCATGATTTCCCTTTTGTTTCAAGACCTTTTGAGTGTTTTGTGTTGGGGTTGGTGGCTTCCCCTTTGCTGCTCCTACCCGAGAGCACTTGTTTATGTTATTTGTCTCTTTGTGTTGGGGTTGGTGGCTTCCCCTTTGCTGCTCCTACTCGAGAGCATCTAATTATGTTGCTTATTTTTGACCCTTTTTGTGTTGGGGCTGGTGGCTTCCCCTGGCTGCCTTGCCCGTGAGCCTGTTGGTGTTTGTTTATGACTCAGTTGCCCCTTATTGCTCCTGGTCATGAGTCCTTGCCTATGGATTTTTTTTTGTTGGGTACATTGGCTTTCCTGCTGTCTTTGCCTACGAGTTTGTCAGATGTTGGCTTGGGTGTTAGTTGGTGGCTCCCCTTTGTTGGCTGTCTCTACCTGTGAATCTGTTGGGTGTGCTGCCTGGGCCCGATTTGCCCTCTTTGTTGTCACTGCCCGTGAGCCTGTTGGGGACTGGCTTGGGTTTGGTCTGCTCCCCGGCTGCCCTTGTTCGCGAGCTTGTTGGAGGTGGTTGTCCTCAACCTTTAGTTGTGGTCACCTGATTTGGTTATTTATTTCTTGCTGCCCCTACCCGAGAGCACCTATTAGAGGGTCTTTGTTTTGAGCTAGTTCCCCGGGCGCTGAATTGTTTGGGCCCCCTCCTGTTCCTAGTTGTGGGCACCTGTTTGGGTTCCTTTGTGTTGCGTGGGACTCATACCTTATGGAAGCTTTAATTTGAGACAAAATTGGATATTTTAATCTTTATGAATTGCATACTTCAATCTTTGTTGCTTGGAAGAATTCGAATGTCCCTTTTCGATGAACGAGATCGACAACGAGGTGTATGATGTCTCTTTAGAGTTAAGGCCCAATCGTAGGATAGTTGGGAAGTCACCAGAGTCTCTCCGGATCTGTGACATCCACTACCTTTTACTCCATTGAATTCTGAAAATAATTGTTCCAATTTTGAGCACTTCACCTTTGATTTCCTCACATTCAACCTTGAAAACCTAAACTTAGCAATATTGAAGATAGAACCACTGATCATAATCGAGAGTCTTCTTAAGTGATTTCGGTCATTTAAGATGTATTTAACTATAGGTGTTTGCCTTTATAGGACTTGGAAGAATTCGAATGCCCCTTTTCGATGAACGAGATCACGACGACAAGGTGTAGGATGCCTCTTTAGAGTTAAGGTCCAATCGTAGAATAGTTGGGAAGTCACCAGGATTTCTCCGGATCTGTGACATCCCCTACCTTTTACTCCATTGAATTCTGAAAATAATTGTTCCAATTTTGAGCACTTCACCTTTGATTTCCTCACATTCAACCTTGAAAACCTAAACTTAGCAATATTGAAGATAGAACCACTGATCATAATCGAGAGTCTTCTTAAGTGATTTCGGTCATTTAAGATGTATTTAACTATAGGTGTTTGCCTTTATAGGAAACTTAAGAACTCAGTTTAATATAAACCTTATTTAATCTCTCGTGTTAAATAGGAGAACGTGTCGGCTTATAAAAAACGGTTTCGCAGACCAAACAGATGTCACAAATATTTTAGCTTAGGTGGTTAAGCCTACCAATAGGTTATATGCATATCATTCGGGATAGTGTACTACTTGTGGTGTCACGCTTAGTCATCTAAACTATCAAATATGTGAGGTTTGCTCGGTCTCACTTTTCTAAAACTAACATAATATTATTTTCTAAACTTATAGTTAGATATATATATATATATAATTAAATTTAAATTCAAACGACGACCTTCCGAACGATAAAACGGCCGATGCTTATTTAACTTATATGATTAACCAAAAAAATTGCTCATGATTTATTTTATCTCTTATATAATTAGTGGCAAATAATTAGATATCAATTTCAAATTCATTAAATTACTTGTTTGTTTATATTTGAAAAACTATTTAATAATATAAAAAGTTAAGTAGCCGTTAGAAAATTTAATTTTTTTTAACTCGGTTAAGTATTTGTTCAATTCAATTAGGCAGAACCAATACAAATTAAATATAAATACACATATGAAAGCTCATCTTGAGCTTGAAGTGTCAGTTCCTATTTTTATCATTAATTTTGGCACTAATAGATTTTTGATCTATAGTGATGCTTCGCAACAAGGTTTAGGTCGCCTTCTATGCAACACAGTGGAGGGATGGCTTATGATGCCAAGTAGTTTAAGGCACATGAGAAGAACTACCTCTGACTTGGAGATTATTATTGATCATAAGAGCTTGAAAAAAAACTTCTACTCAAAAAGAGTTGAACTTGAGGCAAAAGAGATATCTTAAGTTGATAAAGAAATATGAATTACAAATTTGATACAACCCGAGTAAGGTTGATATGATCGCAAATACTTTCAGCATAAAATATTCAACTCATGGAGCTTAGATGATTACTTGTGAACAACAGTTATTGCTTGATATAGAGTGATTTCAGCTTGAGACAGTAAATCCAGGAGAAAACTTTATTATAATCACATGAGTATTCAGCCAAAACGAGTAGATCCAATTTGTACACTTCAAATGAATGATAAGAAACTAGCACAGCTTAGACGGCAAGTTCAATATGAATTAAAACCCAAGTTCATTGTTAATTATAGAGGTACATTGAGATTTAAATATCATTTGTGTTCCTAATCAGATGGTATTTCGATAGAGGAAACTTCGTGAAACACACAATATGCTATATTCTACTCATTCAGAACATGCTAAGACGTACCAAAACCATAAAAACCTTTTAACTGGGCTCGTATGAAGAACTATATAGCAAACTTTATAGTTAAGTGTTTGACTTATTAGATGATCATGGTTCAGTATGACTGACCTAATAGTCTATTGTAGAATCTTTTTATTTCAAATTCAAAGCATAAGGAGATGCAATAGATTTTGTAATTTGCTTCGTTACACCAAAACAAGATTATGATGCAATTTGAAATGTGATTAGCAGCCTCATTAGGTTATTTATTTTCTACAGAACAAATAGAATTACAAAGTAGAAAAAAACTAACAAATATCTATATGAATGATATCATTAAACTGCATGAAGTTTCAATTCTTATCATATCATATTGAGATATAAAATTTACTTTTACACTGTTATGAAAGAAAGTTCGAGAAACTTTGCATTGAATTTCATCCTTAAATAGACGTTCAGTGGAAGTGTGTATTTAAATATTAGAAAATTTGCTGAAAATTTATATTCTTAAAGTGGATGCTAGGAAGATTTCATCCTTCTTGAGTTCCTCTGTAAAGATAGCTTCTAGGCTACTATTGGTAAGTTCGTTTGAGGTTCTTTATGATATAAAGTGTAGATCTCTTTAAGGTTGGTTTGAGGTTGGTGAAATAAAATTCCTAGAACCTCAGTTGGTTGATCAAGTTATCGAAAAGAACCATCAGATTTGTAATCAGGAGCATACAAAAAAACATGTACCCTAAGCACAATGAGATTGAGTTTAAGGTTGAAGTTGATTGCTTTCTCAAGATTTCACTTCTACATGGAGTTAAAACATTTTTTGCAAGTGTAACCTTCAAACTTGTTTAATTGGATATTTTCAAGTGATTGAAAGAGTGGACAGAGTTTTAACCGCTTGGTCCTTCAATATTTATAGGGTGTAATAATTTTTACACCTTCATCTTATAACGCTACATGCAAAATGATTCTCATATAATTCAGTTTGGGCCACTATTGATCCAAAAAAATTGATTTATGAATATGTACTCAAGCATATTTTGAATCGTGATGTTCTTCATCACCCTTCAACTACTATTATTAGAGTGTTTTGAAAGAATCAGTAAGGATGCAAAGCAGCATATGTTATTAAAGAAGAGAAGATCGCAAATTACATCAAAATTATGGAACTAAAATATGTATTTGGGGCCAAATTTTTTAGGAGGGTAATGTGTAACAAAATGTGAAGTGCTATGACAACGGAGTTACCCAAAATCACAATGGAAATACAAATATTATTGTTGAAATTCAAAAGAGTTACAACAAGATTTAAAAACAAAAAAAAACATAACACAACTCAGATGCCCGCTTGAGCTAAGCCAGACAGCAGGTATAGCAACGGCGGATAGTGTGGGGGATGGATGTTGGAGGCAATTTGAAGAAAGGTGAGTGGGGTGAGGAGACCAGTACAATAGATGGGGCGGATTGGAGCAGTGAGGTGACAGACAAGCTGGGGGAATGCAAGTGACACGATGGCTGAAGGATGGAAACTAACGGAATGGATGTTGAAGGCAGGTCGGGTCACTTGCGGCTGGGAAGGGGAGGGATTAAGCGGTTGTAAGGGATGGCTGGAGGAGGGGAGTTACGGGAGGGAGGAGGAGGGAGGGTGGTGATAACAGCAAGGAGAAAAAGATTTGTAGTGAGTGGGGTTGGGACCAGGTATGTGCAGGAACAGTGACCGAAGGCCTATCGGAGCAGTGGTAGCAAACGGAAAAGGGAAAGATATACACCTCCTTGAGGCGAGTTACAGTTTGAGCACTTTCTCGTCATCGAATATATCCCTAGAAGGAAAAAGAGGGATATCGGTGGCTGTCTAAGCAGAAATCTCAACAGGACGTGCAGAAGGAGGAGGCGGCAGCTCTCAAAACCCTAATTAGGGCCAGCCGGTTCAGCCTCCCTGATGAACCCAAAGGTCGGTTCAACTCCCAGCAGCCCTGCATCACATTATAAGGCAAACCAAAACAACCTCAACCCTCACAAAGAGATCACACACACATGCACGCAATAGCACATTTGTTATTAAACATGAAAATTCAAATTCCAAATAAAATTTGATGCATCGAATATATAAGTGATTGATATGTCATCAAGTATTGCTATCAGTCATAAGCTTATGAAAATAGCTTGAAATTTCATAATTTTGAACAATCAAGACGTGCATCAAAGGTCATACCTTTGCGTTGAGGGCCTTTACTTGATCTTGAAAATAATTTCGGTCAACAGAAGTGCCACAATTTAAACACACTACAGTATAAACAGTACCGTGGAGCTCAAGAGGTTCACTGCCAGCGCGATGATGCAACCTGATATATAAATGAATATCATGATAACAATCAAAAGGTCTTTTTTATAGATGAGAGATTATAATATAAGAATAACAGTTCAACCTGTCAACATTTTGGGTGACCAAGAAATTGACTCGACCAACTTTTTCCAATGTGGCTAGCGCAATATGACCTTCACTAGGATGTGCAGCAATATTGTGCAGCAATAAACCTTCTCTTCTCCATCCAGCATAACTCCTTGCCCAGTATCGCCTGCGGGCATGACTGGAGCGGACAAACTCCTGTTTAACAGAAGAAGCGCACACTATATTCATTAACGGTAACTTTTTAAAACTCAGGTTGATTACAACAGTCAGTTGTTGATCAACACAGATTTAAATATTCTCACAAAATGCTTATTATTACAAATTTGTACTCATGGTTCTTCAAAAGAACATGCCCTCTAATGCCCAAGCATGGAGAAAAAATTATGTGAAAAGAGTTCTCATGCCAAGCCTCGACCACCTATTTTGTAAATTTATATATCTTTCCAAAAGAACTTGAATCATTTTATGAAAAAAAATGCATAACAAAAAATAGCATTCACTCTCCATTTCTTTAAGAGAACTTACAAAATAACATAGTTTGGCATTCATAGATAGCATATGTAAGTAAGATACTTGCCTGATGAGTAATTGGTTTAAAACCAGAGCTATAGGCGCCATTTGGACTGCAATAGAGCTTTTTATTGAAGTTAGCACATAAAAGAATAAAAGTTAAGTCGGTCATGCCAATACAAAATGGTTAAATCTACAATATTATATAGGGAAATTACGAGAACACAAACCTTATGTATTTACATACATCACAACTAAACTTTCATATTTACATACATAGCATTGTACTTTAAACCTATGCATGAAAAGTCATTTCTCTTTTAAAAGGTGGTAATAGTATTATTTTTATATGATACTAAAGATTTGAGTAATATGTGCGTAAATAAGAAATTTTAGATCAAAGATATGTAAATACATAAGAAATGTGTGCCATGTATGTTAATAGCCATAATATATAAAGTGAATACCTTCTGTAATCGGGAATTCCAGATTCAGTGCTTAATCCTGCTCCAGTCAATACCATGAGCTTTCGACTGAGGGAATTTGATATTGATAGAAGTCATATCGCTTAACAATCATAGCAAACAACAATGGAAGAAGAAACATAAATCTATGTTTCATGTTTAATCTCCTTCTTGATCAATGAGTTATTGACAAAATGTTGGATCTATAACCATACCTCCTATCAAAAAATTGATATAGACGATTTAAATCTTTCATGTCTGGAGGTTTTGAATCGGGAATGATTTCCTTATTCCTCAGAAATTGGATCAAAGATTTATTTTCGCTTTTCTGTTTCGCCTCAATAGTAGAGTGGCAGCATGATGCTAGCAATTTTCTTACAGCGAACTGAAATTGAGAGCCCCTAAACCAGTTATTAGTGCACAGCCTACAATTCCGACCTGATTATAGAACAACATTTAAAAACGAAATAAAATTCTTAAAGCAAAAAGATTGAGACTGCAAAAAGAGCTAAAGAACTTTCATGGTGAAAATATTGATTTAGAAGAAAAAAAAAACTTGCCTCGGGACATTCTTCCAAGAGCATTAAATCTTGATGGCTGCCAGATCTTCAAAATATATAGGAGAATTAGTACAACATAAGTTACGAATAGCTACTCATGATCACCATGCACACAACAATCCAATTATAAGAAGACTAATATATCAACTAAAAATTTTCTAGATATCATTACTAAGGAGAAGGAAATTTTCTAAGAAAACATCAGATACAAAAATATTGTATCCATACCTGAATCTGCACTCTTTCTGCACTTCCTATACCTTTTTACATACATTCAACCAAATTTTTCAGACTAGTCCATGTTATAAGTAATAAATTTCATTTTCCTGAATCTGATTAGGCTTTGTTAAGCAAGAAATTGAAAATAGCGAATAAACCCTCCATCTCCACTCACCAACATAAACTTCGCGCCATTCTCTTGCTTGAATTCAAATTTATCCTCTCCTTCACAAACAACTCCAAATGAAACAATAGAGGAAATATCTAAACCCTCGCCAAGTAAGGCAAAGAGGCCATGGAGTACAAATAAGAATGGGGAAGCGGGGGAAACAAAAGACTTACGGCTCCCAGCAGATTATGGTTCAGAATCTCCACCGCCATGCCGGAAGGAAGAAAAGAGGAGGAGGGGTAGGTTTAGGATTAGCTCAGCGATGCCACAAGAGAAGCAATCGACGGTGTCCACCCCGCCGTTCCCTGATCTACATCCTATTAAAAGATGTGATGAGTTTGGCCAAATTTGACATCATACATTTCAACATTATTGTTACATGAGTTTAAAGAAAAAATATTGTAGTTTTGTATCAGAATATAACGAGAACATATCACGTGTACAGGAAAGTCCTTTTAGTAAAAAAAAAATTAATTTAATGTGGGAGGCTTGGCTATATATCTGACAGATCTGATTGGAGTCCTGATACAAAATTGTACGAGAACTTCTGATGCAATATTTTTCTAGTTTAAGATTTTTGAGTGATAAATAAATAATTTAACATTATACAAAGATTTAATACTTGTAGATGTAAGTGATAATAGGAAACATACTTTTCATATAAAAATCCTATAAAGAGAAAAGAAAATGCTAGATTTTGCACATCTATTTTATATTTTAGTTATAGGATTACACTCTTAATTTAAAATAGTGAATATTAGGTAAGTTACAAAGATCGGATAATAGCAACATTGGTTATAATAATCACAATTTAATATTTAATTATGCATTCACGAGTGATAGTTTGTGAAAATTGGTGGCAGTCGGCGATGATTGATGATGAACAAGAATGATTGTTGATTCGTTCAAAATTATATATAAGTTATAAGTAATTAAACACCATTATTTACATAACTCACTTTCTAAATTTTTATTTAATTTGGAGTGACTAAAAAATTTATATTTCAAATAACAAATGATTTTTATTTGAAAACATTTAATTTGCGTGTCAAGTCATATTTCAATTTTTGTTATTTCCTTGATTTTTGCCCATTTCTACCTATTTTTGATATTACCATTATGCCCTGGATAATATTGCAAATATGTTTGTCTGCCTTTTTAACAAACAATTTAGATATTCTGCGAATAAAGACAAAAATCGATAATAACAAAATAGGATCCGAAAATACTGAAACAAAAAATGCCTTTTTTTCCTTCACACATCCCCCGAGAAACCCACAATCGTCTTCCTCCTCCAAACCCTCCTCTCCGTTCATTCTTCAACTCAAAAACCAGCAAGCAAACAGCAGCGCAGGAGATCCGGCAAGATGATGGGCGATGGAGTCATGCAGATTTTAGCGAAGCCGATCCAGCTCGCCGACCAGGTAACGAAACTAGCCGACGATGCTCATTCATTCAGAACCGAGTGCCAGGAACTAAAGTCCAAGACCGAACGCCTCGCCGCTCTTCTCCGGCAAGCCGCGAGAGCGGAGCTCTACGAGCGTCCAGCTCGTCGGATCATGGATGACACCGAACTAGTCCTCGAAAAAGCCCTATCTCTCATCGCCAAGTGCCGCGCCAACGGGATGATGAAACGAATGTTCATCCTAATCCCCGCCGGCGCATTCCGGAAGATGTTGATCGGCCTCGATAACTCCATCGGCGACGTATCTTGGCTCCTTAGAGTATCGGCTGCCGGCAACGAGGAAGGCGATATGCGCCTCGGTCTTCCTCCCATCGCTCAGAACGAACCCATCCTGTTCTTAATATGGGAGCAGATCGCCACCCTGCATACTGGTAACCTGGAAGCCCGCGCCGACGCTGCAGCCAGCCTTGTTTCACTTGCGCGAGACAACGAAAGGTTCGGGAGGCTTATTATTGAAGAAGATGGTGTCAGCCATCTTCTCCGCCTCGTGAAAGATGGCCGGGTTGAGGGACAGGAGAACGCAGCTCGTGCTCTCGGTCTTCTCGGCCGAGATCCGGAGAGCGTGGAGCAGATGATTCTCGCCGGAGTTTGTTCTGTGTTCGCAAAGGTGCTTAAGGAGAGCCCTATGAGGGTTCAGGCCATGGTCGCATGGGCCGTCTCCGAGCTCGCCGCTAATCACCCGAAATGTCAGGATGTCTTCGCACAGAACAACGTCGTCCGCCTCCTCGTTGGCCATCTCGCCTTCGAGACAGTCGAAGAGCACTCCAAGTACACGATTCCTCCAAAAGTCACCTCAATCCACACCGTCGTCATGGCTAATTTCGCCGCCGATCCGTCCAAGGGGTCGTCGGAGCAAACCCTAGTTCGCCATCCGTTGGACAGCCAGGCCAGAAGGAACCAGATGCAGGGCGCCAATGTCCGGCAGCCTCATACACACCTCACCGGTTCCAATACCAGGGGGAGAGAATTCGAGGGCCCTGCGACTAAATCCTACATGAAAGCCATGGCTGCCCGAGCATTATGGCACCTCGCAAAGGGAAATTCCGCCATATGCAAAATCATAACCGAATCAAAAGCCCTTCTCTGCTTCGCCGTTCTTCTCGAGAAGGGGGAAGATGATGTACGATACAATTCCGCCATGGCTCTCATGGAAATCGCCCGCGTGGCTGAAGGGGATGCTGTTCTCCGCCATTCCGCCTTCAAACCCACCTCCCCCACCGCTCGTTCCATCGTCGACCAGCTGCTCCGCGTCATCGAGAAGGCGGAATACGATGACCTTCTAGTGCCCTGCATCACCGCCATTGGTTGCTTGTCGAGAACATTCAGAGCCACCGAGAAACGCATCATCGGGCCACTAGTGAGGCTGCTGGACGAGAAAGAAGGTGTTGTGATGCGCGAAGCAGCCATTGCTCTCGCCAAGTTTGCCTGCACTGATAATTACCTCCACGTCGACCATTCCAAAGCCATTATTAATGCTGGAGGAGTCAAGCACCTCGTCCAACTCGTCTATTTTGGTGAACAGATGGTGCAGACTGCAGCTCTCGTGCTGCTGAGCTACATTGCTCTCCATGTTCCCGAAAGCGAGGAGCTGGCCATGGAGGAGGTCCTCACCGTGCTGGAATGGGCTTCGAAACAGTGTTCTGCAATTCAAGATCCGGAATTGGAGCTTATTTTACCAGAGGCTAAGGGAAGGTTGGAACTTTATCAATCTAGAACTTCTAGAGGCTACCATTGATTGATTTCAGTTGTGGGTTGTGGAAGGAGAAATCATTTGGTGGGAACCAAAAAACGTGAGGTACCGCAGTGGGCACAAAACGATCCAAAAAGCGAAGGCTCGCCCTTCAAAGTGCCGGGGTGCTGTTGAAAAAGCTGAAGTGATTATTGGATATAATTATGGACTCCTCATTGATGGAACTCATTTAATTTGAAGATTTGCATACATCCACTCAATTTCTACCAATTTACATATCCAATTCCCAAACTTCGATTTTTACATACATGTCACCTCCAACCATGGATCAAAAAAATATGCATATCAAATTTTTTAAAGATGAAATGGTGATATTTTTGATGTGATGAGCACTATGAATGTAAAAAGGTTATATTTTGATGTTGGAGATGTAAATACATAAGAATTGGGTGGCATGCATTTAAATGCCCCCATTTTTTTTTCCTTTCAGTCTCATCTCATGATTTGTCTTCCTCAGGGAAGATGAAGTTGGAGAATTTTGGATTTGTATGTGGTGATGAACCAATGAAAATTTAATTGAAATGGATTCAAAATTTTTAATTTCTTTTGAGATGAATGCAATATATGCAGTCCTCAGTAATCTCGAAATAAAATTTAAAATTTTAAGTTCGTCCTTAAAAAAATGAAGTACATTTTCTCATACATAAATGATGTGGCATGCCTGCAAAAAATTAAAATCTAACGCTTTGCATTTAGCCCGAAATTCAATAATAAATTCTCTCTATTCTTACAAAATAGTATATTACATTACTGTATTATTTTAAGTTGCTTGGTTGCATGTAATATATGAATAAATGTGAGGGTTCTAAGAATTTTTTTTGGTATTAAATTGGAATTAAAATAGATTCAAGGTAAATTATTGGGGAAATTTTTTCCCTATATACAACAACACGAAGCATATTTTTGAAGAATTTAATTTTTTTTAGAGTGCATCGTATTCATAATGTTTTTTAGAGTGAGTCGTATTCATGAACTATGCGGACTAAACATCTTTGACATTAGGAGTGTGCATAATGCAGAGGTTTTGAAAATTCAATTGTTGTTCGGAAAAATTTGAAATTAAATCTAAAATAACATTGCATTTGAAATTCAATCGTGAATTAGGACTTCACTCCCGATGTGGTTGAATTTAGAAAATATGGTTGAATGTAAAATGTTGTAATACACCCTGCAAGTTGTAGCTCGCAACATGTCCGCCTACACTCCATATCACCCAACCCAGGTCCATGTACAGGTCCAAAAATACAACATTTAACATCCAAGTGCCCGGAGGTTGATGCGTCGGCTTAGAAGGATTCCCCTCTATCATACGACGACTGATGGACAATGAGTGTCTTAATGATGTCGAAATGGAGTGGTTTTGTGCTTTGTCTCGCTGAGATGTTCGATTCAACTATAAACTCGTCGAATTCAATATCTACTTTACCTTCAAAATGTGTCTGGAAAAACTCATAAATGATTTAATTGTTTGATTAGAGTTTGATTTTGTTCATATTGGATTAATTTTGGTACTATTGGATCCATCTCTTTGAGCTGATCAGCTTAACTATAAGTTTCTAGAATCAAAGCTCATTATGACTTTTTATCGAGATTTGAGTATTTTTTACTCAAAATATTATCTCGAGATCTGCATTATGTCCTGAGATTCGCGATAGATAATGAAAATTTGTTGGTGTATACTAATCTAAGAAAATCTCAATAATTGTGAGTATATTAAAGATATATTTTTAAATTTTATTCACCAAACTCATTCCTAAAATTCTCCTCTCATTTATCATTATCATCGCCATTACCACTACACATATCTTTATAACCGCTAACATAATAAGAGCATGCAATTATTGTTGGAGAAAATATTATAATAAAGCATGATGACATCAAGTAATGTCTCTAACATGCGTAAAATCTTATCAAATCAATTACTAATCACATTCATTATTAAAAATAATTACATAATCTTAACTAGAAAGAGTAAATTTTTTTGGACAAGACAGTTCACTCGACTAGTTATTAAATTTATTTTTTGAATAACTAGGGATCTTTTTGGGATAGCTGCAACTTATTAATAAACTACGGAAAAATAATATGTCCTTAAAAAAAACTGAGATTGACAATTGTAATTTTTATTTTTATTTTTTGTAAAGTCATATCGCAGCTTGAAAATTGTCGCTGCACCTAGGCATAAAATGACATGAAAACGTTGATTTTCAGCGATTTGAAAATGTTGTTTTATGAAAAACTGTCAAAACACTGTTTATCCAATCGGATCTGGGTGCGTTTTGAAAATGAATCACACGGAAGAGTTGCCTCAAACAGGGCCTTAGCGACCAGTCTCAAGAAAGATTAAGTTGCAAATATCTAAAAAGAATAGGTTTAAAGTATAAATAGAAGAGTACAAATATCTAAAAGGAACAGGTTAATAGAGATGCAACAACGCACTTGCTTGAGATGCCCTAGTTCCCATTTGCTCTTCCCGCCTGTTTTATTATTTCGCATTTAGCATTTCCTCAGATAAATTGCAGGCGAGGGCAACTATTTCTGCTGCAGGGCTACCAGAGTTGCTAAGCGAGTAGAAAGACGGCCCCAATGTCGCTGAGGAAGGGCACCTTTAGTGGTACGAACGTGTTCCTCTCTCGAAACCTCGTCCCGCCGGAGGTTTTCGACGCCATCCACGACACCCTACGACTGAACGGCGCTCAGGTCTTCCTCTGCTGCGATCCTTCCCGGACAGCCCCCAACGATTACCACGTCATCTCTTCTCCAGATCACGTGAGATTCTTTCGCTAGCTCTCACTTAGTTCTGATTATCCGATCTACTAGCTGCTATTTTATAAAATTTTTTTCCCTCTTTTTAATCTCGAGTTGCAGGAGAAGTTTGAGGATCTTAAGGCAAAGGGATGCAATATTGTAGGTAGGTGTTTTTTCTGTTTTTGGTGGCATTTTAATTTCAAATATCAGTTGTCTGACACGCATCTATTATTTAGATAAATTTGTATTTAGAAACGGCTTTAACATTGAAAATTAAGGCTGTTCTCTTAAAGAGAAGTGTGCTTGTAGTATTGTACTAAGGAAAATTTAAGGAGATTTAATTAATTGTAAATTTTCTTAAATTGCAAAGGGATTTGCTCTAGAGATAACATCAAAGTCATGTAAACTTATTTTTGCAAAATAGATTAGCACCACATGCAACACTTAATAGGAACAAAAATGAGAACAAGGTTCATAATGACTTAACCCCGAATACTTGGGATAAGGTTGATGATGATGATGCCAAAACTGCTGGGGAAGTTATGGATGAATGATTGCATCATAATGTATACATCGTGACTATATGGTTTACTTGGTTTTATAGGAAAGAATTTGGCTGAATGATGGAAAAAATTAGGAATATCTTGCATATAATCTTCAGTTTTAATACTTAACGAAAGAAATACAGACTTCTTAATTTAAAATGTTCAAATGGAGTCATGTTGAAGTACACGAGGTGACACCAGTTTTAAAAATGGAAATGTATTCAATTTTTCCTCTTAGTGGCACACCAGGCTCCGGCAGACAATATTAGTAATGTTCCTGTGGCGATGCTTCAAGTAATATTATAACAAGCTATAGGCTAACCCGTTTCTTTTGAATAGTATTGAAATTGATAGTTTTTAACCTCATAATTGCGTTTTATATATATTGAATGTCCACACCTTCATAAAAAATGAATCTTGAATGCTCACTTGGATCAGCAAAGTCATCTGTTTTCACAAAAGGAACGCTTCAAGCTTTCAGTTCTGTATAAAGGGAAAAAAAATGCTTATAATTGTTTATGCAATAAATAATCACTGTTTTCTGTGACTGTAGGGCACTTAATCTACATAAGAAGTTACTTTAAAAACAATTTTCAGTTATTACTTTTGATAATCTTGTTTCTCTTTGCATTTTTGTTTGTAGGACCACAATGCATTTTTTCTTGTGCGAAAGAGCACAGGATGTTGCCCAAGCATGGCTATACCTGTTGCCTTGCAATGGATGGAGTTAAAGTTATTGCTTCTGGATTTGAGAGGGATGAAAAGGTAACATGCCATGCAAACCTCATAACTTGACTCCTTGTATTCATTTTCTTTTAAAAATATTTTGTCTGCCCCACCCCACCTCTCTACATCTCACTCCGCTCTGCCTTTATTTCCATTAAATGAATTTTACACAGAAAAGTGGATATGAGCTAAATAGCTTGGCATGCTGATTATCACACTTGAACCTTGAAATGATGGAGCGAGGCGATGATGCTTGAAAGAAAGAAGCTGGAGAGAATGAGATAACACGTTGTAGAATTCATGTTATATTGGTTGAAATATGGATCAACATTTAGAGATTTTCATGGGCGAAAAACATGAAAGTAATATAATATATTATAAAAACGAAGGAATTCTAAATAGTAAAAGAGCCTTCTGATATAAAATATACTAAATACAATAGATAGGATCTTTAGAAATTAGGCACAATATCGCTTCAAATCATCAGCTTACCATATAGGCCCAAATTACAAGGTGCCAAAGAGGGAATGTAATAACCATATAAAAAAAATTATATATAATAACGGGCTTCGTTTGATAAATGATAAATTAAATTTTAACGAGCTTCGTTTGATTTGAGTGTGCCTATCTCAACGATTTGGATTTGACGAGTCGAGCATCCCCATTCAAAGCAATCAGAGATCAAACCAATCAGAGAGAACGAGAGAAGAGGAAGAAGAAGTAGAAGAAGAAGGAGAAGGAGAGATTGGGTGGTCCTCTTTTCGAAGAAACAACGTCGTTCTGATACTCCTAGTTTTTTGTCTGCGAGAGACAATGCTATAGAGAAGGTTCAAATAATGTCAAATAAATTATAGGCGTTGTGACTTTGTCCTATGCGAAAGAAGGGAGGAGAAGTTTTGGTGTGTTTGGTGCAGGTAACTTAGATTCGAAGCCAAAGCCTCTTCGAACCTTGCTTCTTTGGGTTCGAGTGACGCTTTGAGCCAGGAGAGGAAGAAAACAAATCCTATGGAGCACCGTGTGTGTTTGCGGGAAGAAGGCATCTTGTCCGAGGAAGACAGAAGTAGCTTTCATGTGGGAGGAGAGGAGTTCAAGCATAATAAGAGGAAGAAGGGAGGAAGCGGCTCGTGCGAGGATAACTGATTCAAGCCGAGTAGCCCTAACTTGTGTGCTTTTCTCTGTTATGGGAGTTTAATTTAATCTGATTCAGCGAATTTAGAGCTAAGCTAGTCTAATCCTAGTTCTATTCTAGAGTTTCCCAACATTTGCCTTACTCCCCACCAAAATTTTCCTTTATATTCTTAAGTCATAGCCAACCTTTGACCTAACCCTATTTTTCTTTTGTTGATTTTCAAAATTAGCAACCCTAAATTAATTTTCTTACACTCTCTTTCATCTTCAAACTCTAAATCTTAGCCATGCCACCAAGGAAAAACAAGCCCTAGTCTACCTGGAAAGAGATATAACGAGTGATCCGTCGACTTCAATAGAGACTTGCAGATATTGAGGATGAGAAGTTATCTTAGATGGTGACTAGGAAAGTTGAAGAGGCAATAGAATTTCCACCCCTTCCATAGGGAGGATTTTCGTGATGAAGAAGAAAGACTGCGATGATTTGAAATCCAGTATCAGAGGAAGCCGAGAGGGAAGGCCACCTATGGAGGACACACTGACTTCAGAATAAAGATGGTTCTACTAGAGTTCAATTGAGGTATGGATCCAGACGACTTTATCTAGTGACTACAATCATTGGAGCAGAACTTTGAGTACAAAGAAGTTCTATAAGATAAAAACGTGAAGCTTGTAGCTATCAAGTTGAGAAAAAGCGTCTTCGTGTGGTGGGACAACTTAAAAAGATAGAGGAAGAGAGAAGACAATGACAAAATTACCAAGCGGGAGAAGATGCAAAAGATGATGTAGAGAAAATATCTACTTCCTCACTATCACCATAATATGTTTCTGAGACTCCACTACCTGCAACTTAGATACTTATTAGCAATGAGTTCACGACGCATTTTGACCACTTGTAGATGGAGTGTGATTTGGTTGAGTCAGGGAAACAAACCATAGCCGGTTATTTGGGGTGCCTTCTAAAGCCTGCTATTAGTAATGTGGTGCATCTGCTGTCTTATTTATCATCTGGAGACGTCTAGACGTTAGCATTAAAAGTGGAAAGATAATAGAAACTAAGCAGGCCACTACAGTCAAGCAACCACCCACAGTTGGAGACATTAGTAGGAGCATGCCTCAGGGAGTTGGGAAAATTGGTTCGCATAAGAGTAGAGTCACTCTCAGTGAGAAGAAACCTGAGAAGAGTAACACACTTACTAAAATCGTCCCTTATAGAAAATACTTTAGGTGTCACAGATTTGGGCACATCGCCTCCAGCTGCCTAACGAGTCCAATTGTGTCTTTTACCGAGCAGGGCACCGTGGAGCAAGTTAGCGACAAGGAGATAACTAAGGAACAAAGTGAGGTTTATCATCTTCCACTAGATGAATGCGACATGCTCATGGTTCGATCGGTCCTATAGACCGAGGATACGAGTGATTCGTAGTGGCTTTGCCACAATATGTTCAACACCCGTGGCACTATGAACGTGAAAGTATGCAGTCTCATCATTGGATGGAGGGAGTAGTAAGAACGCTACGTCTACACAGATGATGGAGAAGTTGGGACTCACGACTCAAAGACATTCCTAGTCGTATTTTCATGCTTGGTTTAAGGAGGATTGCGCCAGCATTGGCTGGAGGTGCCCAGTGGAGTTCTCGATTGGAAACCAGCTGTGAATTAGGTGTGGTGCATCGTGGTCTCTATGGATGCTTGCCACTTTTTTGTCGGGGAGACCACGACAGTTTGATCGCATCACTCAACATGATAGTTTTAGAAATACCTACGCATTCACCAAGTATGGGAGCACATCGCCCTTCTCCCTTCTGTGATACCCGAGATCGCAGGTGCGCTTACCAACAGAGTAGCGCAACAGTGGGATCGATTTTGGTAACGACGGAGGATGATAGGAATGAAACATCGATTCCAGAATGGGAGAGTCGCGATAGAGAGCATTTCAGGATATCGTAGTCGTTACATTACCACCATAGACACCACCATTAGTGGAGGTTTAAGTTACCCTCACTTCAAAATTAGATCGAATCGACTTTGGGTTATTTTGGGAGAAGTTAGCAATATATGCCTGACACGCAGATCCATCTCAGTTCAATAGTGGAGCCCCAAAAGGTTGGATCGATATGGACGTATACTCGCAAGTGGTGAAAACTCCTTCAGTGTTTCGGGAGGCAGCACAACACATAATGAGTTCCAAGTGTTGTGAGGACCGCTGACAAAGAACCAGAAGCTTCAACGAATGAAGTTGAAGAAGCTCTCCCAACCTGTGGAGATTATAGCGGGGCTTACCTATGGAGGAGAGGCTGAACCGACCGGTTTAGCCAGTAACTACTGGGGCTAGCTGACCAATCCAACATAGGGGTTGGTTTTGCTTCCTTCAAGGGAAGGGGCATCCCCTTCCTATTTTATCTAATATTATATATATGTTATTTGTTTGCTTAGAGTTTTGTTTTTGGTTGATTTTGATTTCAGATTTTTGCCCGAAGTTGATTTTGATTTCAGTTTTTTGCCTTCGGGCTTTTTCCCCTTGCTAGGAATGTATCAGAGGACAGGTGGTGCTCCAATTGTGTCCTGCCCCGAGATGGTGACTATCTCTACCTAATCCCCCATGCAACCCCCTCCACTGCTCGATCTAGCCGTTGTTTTCCTCGCACCCTAGATACTGCACCACCGCAAACATCATCTGCATCTTCATGCTTGCTGCCTATCCTTCCCTACCACCTCGGCGAGCCGCTCCAGGTCTGCCACCCTTTCTCTGCTAGGCTATAGGTCTCATTCCCTGTTCTCTGCGCCTGCTCCTTTTGCTGCCAGCCCTTCCAGCTCATCCATATGTTGTTGCTAGCCACTACTGCACCCCTACCTGTTGCTGTTCAATCTATAAGCAACGATCTTGCCTGTCGCAACCTCCTTTACCCTCAGGAGACTGACTCAAGGCTTACCTGCAGTGGGGCTTACATGCGGAGGAGTGGTTGAACCAATAGATTTTGCTAGGAACTACTGGGCCAGCTTACAAGTCCAACAAAGGAGATGACTTTACCGCTCAAAGGGGAGGGGCCTCCCCTTCTTATTTTATTTTCTATTATATATACGTTGTTTGTTTGCTTAGGTTGATTATGATTTCAGATCTCCGCCTCCTAACATTTTTCCCTTGCTAGGGTTGTATCCGAGGTCATGTAGTGCTGCGACTGTATCATGCTTCGAAGTGGTAGCTAGCTCTACCTAAACCTCCACGCAACCCCCTCCCCTACTCGATTCTAGCCGTTGTTTTCCTCGCACCCTATCTGTTGCGCCGCTACTAAAACTACCCACACTTTTCGGCTTGCCGTCTATCTTTCCCTTCCACCTCGCCGAGCCGCTCAAGGCCTGCTCCCGCCCTCTGTTAGGCAGCCAAGAAGGTTGCTTGCAGGTTGAACAACAACAGGTGGTTTTGATTTCAGATCTTCGCCTCCAGGCGTTTTGCCCTTGCTAGGGCTGTATCTGAGGATAGGTGGTGCTACAACTGTATCCTGTTTCGAGATTGTGACTACCTCTACCTAATCCCCCCACACAACCCGCTCGCGTGCTCGGTTCTAGCCATTGTTTTCCTCGCAACCTATCTGCTGCGCCGCCACATCGATCTTTTCGTACTACCCTGCCTGGCAGCTCAAGGCCTGCCCCCCTCCATCTGCTAGGCTACAGGTCTCCTTCCCGGTTCCCTGCACCCGCTCCTACATTTGCTGTCGCCAGATAGACACTACTGCACCCCCACCTACAGCCGATCAATCTACAGGCGACTTTCCTGGGCTATGTTATTCCTGTTTTAAGAAATTTGTCTGTGATTCTTTTGGATTTTTAGCAATAATAATATTTGTCTGTTTGTCTTTCTTGGGTTAATTTTGGCATCGAACATTTTTTCCACGTCTTTATTTATGTCTGGGGATTTTCTTTAGACTTCTGATGGCATTCAAATTCATCAATAAAGCAGAATTTTTGGTACCTCCAAGCATAATTTTCTACCTGCTTTCCTCTCTTCAAAACTTTGGTGAATGTTTCTTCAATTTTGAGAAGTGGTTATCCAAGTCTTTATTGTGACTTGCAAGAAAATCACAGGTCTTACTTTTTAGGACTTTGATGTATTTATTTGCACACTCATCAGACCTATCATTTGTCTTGAAGGTATCCCATTTCTAAATTTTTATGATTGTGGTGAAATATTCGTTGGCATTCATACTTCCTTGAGGTCATGAGCATAATCTTGTAATTCACACAAGTGAGCGGAATTTTCAAGATCCGAATGTGCACCGTGTTGATTATTTCTCAAATTGCTAGTACATTATTGTAGAATGAGCATAGGCTTCTGATGTGTTTTTCCATATTGGTAGGCTAAGATATTATCTAAGCACTATTTTGTATTCCACTTTGGAATGGAATCGTAGACCGCATAATGGAAGGTACCCTTATCATTTAGATATCAATTTTTTTTAATTTCTCATTCACCATTTGAATTGAGCAAGACCATTGGATAAAGTTCGTCCCTTTTATTTCGTAGGATGTTATTTGAAGATGAGATGCGATCATTCAATGAAGACTTTTGGAATGATGGTGTTGAGTAGTGTCGAAGAATAACCCATCTTCTATGCATTATTGGTTTATTGCTAGGTCTGGTTAGGGCCCCTTCTAGCTATCAATCATAGCTTAGACTGTGCCTATGTATGATAGCATTAAATCAAGAAGGAAGTGAGATAGAATAAAAGAGAGTGGTAGAAATCTCTTTATTATATAGCAGTTTACAAGGGTATTATATAGCAGTTTACAAGGGTAAGAAATAAGGAAAAAAAAAAACGTATCTTAGCAATTAAGACACACGCACACACACACTATATATTTTTAAGAAGAAAATTACTAAAATTTATAGATAGGATATCTAGAAATCTGCCACAAGATTGCTCCAATTCAGCCGCGGCAATGGAGAAAATACCAAAGGAAATGCAAACACGTGGTTGCCGCTCATTGCTGCTCCTGCTTGCAATTGTTGGCTAGAAATTGCGACATACTAGATTTTTAAGAAGAAAATTACTAAAATTAATAGATAGGATCTCTAGAAATCTGCCACAACATTGCTCCAATTCAGCCGCGGCAAGGGAGAAAACACCAGGAAATGCAATCACTATGCTGTCGCTCAAGGGAGAAAACACCAGGAAATGCAAACACTTGTGATTGCTGTATCGATCCTGCATGCAGACACGCTCGTTCACGGCTCTAGTACACGATCCTCCCTTCACACAAGTTAACCCTCTTGGTTTTCCTGCACCGGCAATCTTGCTCAATTTACCTTTATCCTCTCTTCCGTCTCCTCTTAATATCATGGAACCAATCCCCCTTCTAGCTATCTCTTTTGTTCCAACTCACTTCTACTATTTGTTTCTTTTGCTTGGTGCCCCTTTCTTTATTTCTTTAATGATCCATAACTGGTTTTTAAGGCGTTAGGAGCCCGTCTGCTGTCCTGGCTGAATCCAGCAAGGATTCCATTTGGGGAGAGAAACTGCCTGCTGTTCATTGGCAATCTTGGATAGTCCTCTTTCTATTCAGTGCACTTGCTAGGTGCCATATCTTATTTGGAGCTGATCTAAATATTGCAGATAATAATGATTTTGAACATTTTCTTTTGTTTCGGGCTGCAACATATATTTGAAATATGTTTTTTTTTTAATTTTATTTTTATCCTGATGGCATGAGTTTCATCAATATTTTCGTTGGAAGCTCATTTAGAACTCTGTTTTTGTGTTTTCTTGCTGACTCTGTTTGCAGGCCATGATTGAAAAACAAGTCACTGCTATGGGTGGGGTTCTGCTGGCCAAAACATCAATGGATGTCAACTTTGTCATCGTGAAGAATGTTTTGGCAGCTAAGTATAAGGTAAGTTGGTTAATTTGTGCAACACGTCCATGCACTTGTATGTTTTACAATCATATTAGTTATTGGATTATCTTTAGTTTTTTTTCTTGCTGTCTCGTTGATTATTTAACGAGAAAGTTCCTTTTATTCACTGAACATGAACTCTGAATTATGCATGATTCTAAGTTTGGTCGGATACGTTTGTAAATTTGTCAAGTATTCCATTGTGTCGTTATTGTTTACATTTTCATCATTATTTTTAGATTTAATGCACGTGACAAGCAAAATATCGTCTTAAATGCTGAGTAAAAATTACAATAAATGTCAGGAATTGTTCTGTAATGCATCTATTGCTTGTACAAATTAATGTTCTTTGTGTTGGTGTCCCACATATATTTATTTGTTTAATATTTATAATGCTTTCAGGCTAACAGCCAAAAAAGATGCATTCTCACATAGTGTTAGAGCTGTTAAATTGATCTCATTGTTGGAATTAAGGGCCATTACTGACGTAGAAGAAGAATTGTTTCACACTAATCAAATGGAGGATCTGTGGTGATTTCCAAAATGATACGGGAGGAAACCCAAACCACAATAAAAAAACATTATTTATGAATTCTAAACGGATTACAAACGTGATATTTGAAAGCAGGAAGTAACGACAAGCAAACACAAATAACATAAAAAAATATCCATGGGTGACAACGAGGATAGAGGCTACCGGACGGTGGGTTGGCTTCTGATGGAAGATGACTGCAGCTGAGGGGAAGTGGCAGGAGGGAAGGGCGGCCGCTGGAAGTGGTTGTGGTTGCTGGAAGAGACTTGAATGGTGGTTGGCAGCTATAGGAGAGGGGTTGCGGTTGCTGGATGAGGGTTGGAAGGTGGCTGGCGGCTGTAGGCGAGGGGCTGCGGTTGTTGGAAGAGTTTGTGTGTTGGACGATAGTAGGAAGTGGTGCCTTTGAAGGGTTGGACAGCAGTTGGAACATTTATTGGTGGCCGAGCAGTAACAGGAGGTAGTCTAGACAGCAACCAAAAGGTCTTTTGCATTTCTGTAAATGGGAGTAAAGGGGCTGTGGAAGGATAAATATCTCATCGGAGTCTAGCTCTAGCCGGAGCACTGTCTGAACCCTTGGAAACGATCACCACCTCAGACGAGTTGCTGTCGAATCATCTTCTCATCGTTGGGTGCCTCGGTGGGGAAGAACGCCTCTATAACAATACTCAGAAATTTGCACTCAAAAATCACTAACCGTTGTGTCAACGAGATAATTTCGGTCAGGGGCAAGTAGATGGAGCTTACCACCCCAGACCATTATGATGTTTACACCACTAACCACTGTGTCGACTAGATATTATTGGCCACTGGCGTGTAAGGGTCTTCCCACTTCAAACAATGATATTTAGATAGTTAATTGTTGTGCCCACGGGATAATATCAGCCAAGGGTGTGATAGATATTGTTGATGGTGATTCTAAAAAAAAAACAGATGTGTATGTAAAGAGTATAAAGTAAAAGTAAATGCATATAGAAGTTTTGAGTATTTTTCATTTAGAAAAGATCATTGATTCATGCATTAACACAATATGAGATTTTTTATAGAAATATGAAAGACCAGTATGTTATAAGATTTATTAGAGATATGAAAGATCAACATACATATTATTTTTTTTCTTTGAGTTACTATAGTTTAGAAGTATGATTACTTCTGAATTATGTTTATATAACTTGTTATGCTGCTATAATTTTTTTTTTCTAGGTGTTTAGCTTTTGAGCAAGATGAATAGAAGTAAATGTGTATAGAAGACGAGAACAACAACTAGAAAAATGCAAAATTTTATTTGTTAATTTTAGTTTTTTTCTTTAGTTGCTTTTTTTGAGTTTTTAAATATTAAACTGTTAGTGATAGAAATAGAATAACAAAGAATTGATTTTTTCAGTCTGATTGTCTGTTCTAGTTTTGTTGAATTCCAAGCCCCGTGCCGGTCACGACTAGGCGAGGATGGTGGCAGTAGGTGGGGCTGTAGGGAAGATTAGCGATGGTGGCTGAAGGTGGAGAAGGGTTGGCGGCTGTGGAAACAGGGAAGAAGGCTTGTAGCATTGCTGATAGCAAGCAGGGAAAGTGGATATGCTGGGGTTAGGTAGAGATAGTCACCACCTCGGAGCAGGATGTACCTCGGAGCAGGATGTACCTCAATCTTATCTTTTCTTCTCAACCCTTTGCAATCAGATCATGATAAAAAATTTTGGAATAGATTGAAGATCTTATAACATAAATCTAAATGCTTTAACTATGACTTTCAACACGCCCCATTCTATGTTCATCTCCTATCTGCTCTCTATCCCATTCCAGTCCTTTGTCTCCTGTGATTGTTTTATTGCGCAATTTATTTATTTTTTTGCATTATTGAGCTCAGGCTTGGAATGGTTTTATCTTTTGTTAATTGATTAACAAATTGAGCTGAACTAGACTGTAAATCATTCAAGCTCCTTGTACTCTTATTTTTCCAGTGCTAATATTACTTAATTATTTATCTTGTCAAGGCATACCATCATAAAAATTGGCTTCTAAAACCAACTATTAATTAGATTGGCTGTAAATTTATTGAATTGTGGGCATCCTACTGTAATCTTTTTTGATATTAATTTCTGGAATATCTTTCAACATTCTCATGTACTATTAAACATGAATGTTATGCATTTTCCGCCCATGATAAACCTCAAATCAGATCATAAATTCCTTCTGAGAAGATGAGATTTATGGGGAAGGTCTTATCTAATATCTATAATGTCCTTTACATAATTAACTTGGAACCACCTGAATCCACAGAACATGCACATATATATATATATATATAAATTGCTTACTTATTTGTGTGTGGTAAGGTAGAGAGGGAGAGTACAATTCTGGTCATGGGCTCCCTGAAGTACCTCAATCATATCTTTTCTTCTCAATCCTTTCCAATCAGATAATGATCTAAAGTTTTGGAATAGATTAAAGATCTTATAACAGAAATCTAAATGCTTTAACTATAACTTTCAACACGCCCCATTCTATGTTCATCTCCCATCTGCTCGCCATCCCATTGCAGTGTTTTGTCTCCTGTAATTGTTTTATTCCATTTGATAGTGACAAGGCTGAGCTTAAACAATTTATTTATTTTTCCTTTATTGAGCTCAAGCTTGGAATTGGTTTATGTTTTGTTAATTGATTAGCAAATTGAGCTGAACTAGACTGTAACTCATTCAAGGTCCGTGTACTCTTATTTTTCCAGTGCTAATATTACTTAATTATTTATCTTGTCAAGGCATACCATCATAAAAATTGGCTTCTAAAACCCACTATTAATTAAACTGGTTGTAAATTTATTGAATTGTGGGCATCCTACTGTACTTTTTTTTGGTATTAATTTCCGGATAATCTGTCAACATTCTCATGTAGTACTAAACATGAATGTTATGCATCGCTAGTGTAGTATTGGTTGAGCTTCTTTTACAAACAATGACGTAATGCTAGTAATGTCCTGTGTTTTTCACAGTGAATTAAATTTGCATCTATTAATTGTAACCCTTTTCTGCTTGCAGTGGGCTTTACATGTTCTTAAGAAACCTATCGTTAACATGTGCTGGTTGCGCCAATGTTGGATTGAGCATCGGGTTGTGCCTCAAGAGTCTTACAGGGTTCTTCCTTTTATGGGTTTGACAATTTGTGTTACCAGAATTCCTGCAGGTCTGTTCGCAGTATTGACTAAGAACCAACAAATAAAGAATGCTCATCTCTGTTTTGATTGATATTTTCCTAACAACACCTATTTACACTACAGATTTTAAGCTAATGACAGTATTTTCCTAAAAGAAGTCAGTTTGTATGCAATATGTCCTTGAATTCTTAAGATGCAGAGTATATTTGCACTTTAAAAGTGATACTATGATTCAGTTTTCACAAAATTTACTGCCAATCTCAACCAGTGGATCTAAATTATATTTTAATTTTAACAATTTTAGTAAGAGATTGTGTGTTTCCAGATGAACGGAAGGAAATAGAAAGTTTGATCGTACAGAATGGTGGCCAGTATTCTGCCGATCTTACCAAAAAATGCTCCCATCTTGTTTCAGATATATCCTTTTCATTGATTCTTGCAGTATTTTTTTTATCCCTTCGCAGTTGCAAAATATTAGGAGTTTCTTAGTTCTGTTGTTTTTATTACCAATAAGTTATTAGTTTGAACTAATATAATGCCTGCACAATCACTATTTAAACCTAAGAGGAGAAGTTAATTTTTTTTTTATTTTTTTTAGTTGAAATTCATGTTTCAGATTCCCCACATAGTTAATTTAAATGACCTAAGAGGAGAAGTTAATTTACGTACAAATTCACGTAGAAATGAAGCTGTTGCGAAATGGGAAAAGTCTAACTCAAGCTCTAAGTGCAAACGTGAATGAAATCAAAATGATTAATGCACAAAAATACACAGTTGAATAAGGTTTTCCCAATTGATGTCTACGTTATGTTGCCGTTGCTGCATATTTCATTATGGTTTGATTGTGGAGAAGGACTACGCACATAAAAAGGCTACCTGTGATCAAGTCACGTAGGGCTAAATGACTGGTTGTTAAGATAAGAAATGGAGCTTATTTGATGTTTGAAATTTTGATATTGTGTTATAGTTGGAAAGCTTTTCATCACTAAAGACTTTCCCATTACATTATTCTTTCATTTGTCAATAACCTATCTCCTTTTTTGAATTCTAACATACTTATTGCTGGCGTTTCTTCAAGTCTTTTTTTCTTACTTCCATTCATTTCTGGAATTCATTCATTTTTGGGTTGAATTGGTAAGTGCATCATGGCAAAATTTTGTTTTTAATGCCCATATTTTAGAGACCTTATCAGATATTACAAATTCTGACCTTGACATTCCAAAAGCTCCAGCTGGCGACAAGTATGTGGTTGCGCAAAGATGGGGTCACATACATATTGTTAGCCGCAAATGGATCGATCAATCCATTTCAAGACGAGGTAATGGTTTCACATGTCTTTCCTTTTTCTATTTTTCAGATATTCAAACAAGTGTCTGCTAAGATGAACATCTTCTTTCCCTTGTAACCATGATTTCATAATTCTTTTTTAGTAGTTTTCCTGCCACATTTTGCATAATGTTGTCTAATGATCTCGTTATTTATGTTTTCTTACTATTTAGCTTGTCTGGATGAGCGTCTCTATCCTGTTCATGAAATTTCTGCTTCTGTTAATGATGCAAGAGTTTTGCGTAAGGAGCCCAACAATGAAATCCCACAGCTTGTCCAACTAAACAATGTTGAGGACCTAGAAGCAACTTCATCTCAGAATATCTCCATTTCAGAAACCGATACCATTAAAAATGAGGTTTATAAAGGATTTCCTGGGAACATGGAAGACAAACATATTGAAACAAATTCTGAAAATATGGAAGACCAAGCTAAATTTGATTGTCGAGTAGCTCAAGACTCGGAAGAGGATGATGATCTTTATCTATCGAGTTGTAGAATTTTTCTGGCAGGCTTTGAGGAGAAGGAATTGAGAAAGCTAGTTGATATGATAAGAAGAGGTGGAGGCACTAGGCATATGCTATTGAATGAAAAGTTGTCACACATAATTTTAGGCACTCCTTCGGAGGCGTAAGTTTTTTGTTTGCTGCCATTTAGGAGCTGTCATAAATTTATCATTTAATGAGTCCTCATTTGGAAACTATTGATATTTTTTTCTAGAGAAAAGAAAGAGGTAAGACGCTTGGCTGTTTGGGGTGTCATTAATGTGGTTAATTGTACTTGGCTCGAGGAATCTGATCAAGCAAAAAGAGAGCTTCCTGTATCATCTAAGCACATATTTCCCACTTTAATGATGTCTAAGGGTTTGTTCTCTTCCTTTATCTTAAATTTTGTATGGTATTTTATTATTTAGGAATCAACCTAATTGTTGTTATTATTTTTTGTTATTCTGATAAATAGATTATACAAATTTATGTATGGAGCCGTCTGTTGTTGATTATGGCGTCAAGAAGGTTGAAAACATTCATGTCACTTCTTTTTCAACAACAAGCACTGTCAAAGGTGATAAATTGTCTGCATCCAAGCTTTTATGCAATGAAAATCAAGAAACTCATGAGGCTTGTCCAGCCATTAAACTTAAAGATGAAACCAAATTGCATTATTTTTCTGCCACGGAGGCTTCTTCAAATAGCAAAGCAACCTTCAAGGGGAAGTCATTCTGTTTTGCAAGCTCATTTCCTGCAGAACCTGTAAGTATTTTCGTGTCATTCTAGTTATCAGCCTAAGGTGTTGTCTTCTATGGCTTTGATTAATAGAAAAATGTCAAACTAGTCCCTTGATTTTTTCATGTGGTCATTTTAGTCCCAGAGTCTATAAAAGTATCAATTTAGTCCCCATGCTCTTTTAATATGGGTTGAAATAGTCCCTATGAAGGACTACTTCCGAAGCTCTATGGACAAGCGGTATTGGCAACACATTGCTCCTAGCAATCCAAACACTAGCTTCTTGGTTAGTTTCAAGAAAGTTATTTTCCATCATAACTTTAGGAGCAACAAGGTTGCTTATACTTGGGCCAAAGTGGCTATAGATAGGGATTTTGTTGTGACTCATGTTAGCGAGCAATATCCTCCTTTTGTTTTCTTTCAAGAGGATAAAGCTCGTTTTGCTAATGTCTTTGGGACCCAGTTTTTGTAACTTTTTGTAATCTCTTCTATTTGCTATTAATGGAAACTGCAACATTTCAAGGACTATTTCAACCACAATTTAAAAATTCCAAGGACTAATTTGGCATTGCTATAGATTTTGGGGCTAAAATGATCCCATGTAAACAATAAGAGGACTTTTTGATACTTTGTTCCTTGGATAAATATTGCTTCTTACAAAATTTTGAGAATTACATGCATAGCATCGAAGGGTCCTAGTTGTCTGTATTGATGTGAACTTTAGTGTAGTATTAAATAATCTTTCTGGATTCTACAAATACTCGACAATCATCAACCTTCTTGTGTTTTTTATTATTTTTTTTGGAGTTATTACATTTCTTGAAATTGTTTGTTAGTTGTGGATTGTCTTGAAAACCACATTTTGTTTATGTTGAATCAATTTGCTAAAGTTTCAATTTCAATTTTACATTGTTTTGGCCGTTGTTTCTGCTGGCTAGACTTTTAATAATTTTTTTTTAATGATTTGTATATTTTAAATTTAAAATGAAAAGTTATGAGTAAGATAAATTTATCATATTTCGTTTATATTTAAATTATATTAAGGTTGCTTAGGGAATGAATCACTAAAAGACAATAAAATTAAGAATATTTAGATTAAAACAATGCAAGCGAAGACTTAGTCATGATATGTTGCTTTGAAGTTCTTTTCTTTTTTTTTTATTTTTTATTTAGGATCAATTATTAACCTTCTTATAGGAGTTATCTATTTGGCTTGGTGGTAGATGGTTTGCTTAAATTACTATGGGGGCTTGTTTTGAGTCCTAGACAACACATAAAAGAGAATTTATTTTTTTCTAGTACCAGGAATTTAAAAGGCCATGCAGTTTAGTTTTGGACCCATCTGAAATCAATCGCAAAAGTGTGAGAGCAATTGCTTTTAGCTGTTTTTTTTAAACTATACTTGAGTTTATGTTCCTTCGGTTATTTAATTCTTTGATGTTTTAGTGATTTTACAGACTGTTTTTTTAATCATCTAACTTTTAGCTCATTTTGATTCATCAGAGGGCTGAAGTTATTGAATGGGTTAAAGGAGGAGGAGGGACCTTGTTGAATGGCCAAGCAAAAAATGTTGATTTCATCATCGAGTCTCATGGCCTTTCACAGGTTTTACCTGCCAATTTATCTCAGTCTACCTCCATTTCCACACATTGGATACGTTCTTCTATAGAGGTATATATAGTTTGGTTTGCTAGCCAAAACAACTGTTCTATTTTATCATGCACCGTACTTTCATGTTCGGAATAGTTTCATATGCTGCTAATTATTACATTCTAGTATATTTTACGTTCACTTTTGGTTAATACCATTTTGGTTTTCAGTTAAAAATTTATTCAAATGTTAGAAAGGTTAAATATACCATTTGGGCAAGGGATTTCTACGGGTTCTTTTGCCTAACTTCACAAAGTTTTTTGCTTATGTTTTTATAGTTAAATATGATTGAAAAGCTTAATTATTGGTAGAAGCATTGTCAAATATGATTTGCTTATTTTTTTGTATAAGTTGAGGTGCATTGAACGGACTATAATCTCTTGGCAAAGATGTCTACTCATGGTGGATTTTATGATTTGGAGAGAAATGTAGCATTTACTTCATGTATTTGTTTACTTTGAAATGTTCTATTGATTGGCATGAAACACTTCAAAATAATACCCATTGTTTTTTTATTTTTTGATTCATTTCATAAAGGAGGGCTGCATGCAAGATGTTGCGAACCACATACTTTACTCACCATTGCATTGTCATATTCCGTTGCCTGGATTTGAGGGCCTCCGATTTTGCGTTTCCCCATATGATGGGAAAGAGAGGATATTATTAAGGAACTTATGCTTCGTCTTGGGAGCAAAGTTCACCGAAAAGCTAACGAAGAAAGTTACCCATTTAATTTGCAAGTTTACTAATGGTCCAAAATACGCAGCTGCTTGTAGAAAGGGGATTCAAACAATTACTGCCGATTGGATTACTGAATGTGTCTCACAGGTATGGATTCTATCGTTTTTTTTCACCAGGAGAAGTGTTAAAATAGTCCCCCCGATATTTTCGGAAGGTCATTTTAGTCTCTGAGCCTATAAAGTGTCAATTTTAGAGACTTTCAACCTCAATTTAAAAATTTTGGGTGCTAATTTGATATTTTTATAGACTTGGGGACTAAAATGGCCCCATGTAAACAATCATGAGACTGTTTGGGCACTTTACTCTTTTTTCATCTTGTATTGGGCGTTGCAATATCTCATGGATATTAATGAGATATATATTTTCCAGGATAAATTGGTTCCAACTGATTCATTTCAGCCAAGGCCTGTAACTTCGCAGGATAAAGAGGCAGGTTTATGTACTGTGAGTCAGCATCCTACACAGGCGGTTCAAATGATTTCCTTCCCATCACAAACGCAGAGTCAACCTCAAGGATTGATGCAAAACTCAAGAATGAACGTTGGTAATTAGTTTTGCAGTGATAAATGTCTTCACTTTTTTTATAATTTTTCGTTTAGAAAGCATGCGGCTTATGCAACAATTTCTAGTAACTCCAAAAAACTTGAAGATTCAAGTTCAGATGAAAAAAGGTTGAAGATATCCGAACTGGATAGAAATACTCGTGCATCGAAAAGACACAAAGTAGTAGATGCTCCCAAGGAAAATTGCAAAACTGGCCCTGATGTGGCAGATGCCATAGAAGATTTGTTAGCTCAGTCAGGCAAGGTATAGAATTGTAATATTATTATTATATGAGAATTGTTCTGTTAGCACCAGCTTATTTTGCTTCTGGTTTCTAAGATCCAAGACCTAAAGCCACCTGGAATGCCTGGTCATGAAAGCAATGTATCCTTTAATTATTCTTTCATGGCGAGTTTTCCTCATACTTGTACTTACTTTTCCTTGACCACCTAGCTATTATAGATATTTGCACACGATGCTCCTATCATTGGTCAAAATCATGAAAATTCCAATACTGCTTCTGGATTATCAAAAAATTGTTCAAGCCGGTGAGTTGCTCTTTTTCTTTTATTTTAGGAAAATTAAGTCACTTAGACATGCAGCAAATGCTTCACTAGTTATTTTGTTAATTTATTTTACTGAAGTGCTCCATTATATAGGTACATTTACATACACACCACTCAATTCCTATGTATCTACACTTCTAACGCTTAAACTTTGCTTTTTACATTTATACCACCCAAATCTTTCATATCACATAAAAAATACAACTATTTTAACTTTTTAAAAGTAAAATTTTCTTTTTCATGCCAACAGAAAGACGATATATGGAAAAATTAAAGTTTAGGTGTTAGGTGTGTAAATGCATAGGAATTGAGTGGTGTATGTAAATCTTCCTATCTATATATATATATATATATATATCTGTGTGTGTGTGTATTTTTATTTGTTCAACTTTTATCTTCAAATATGATTTTTGAAACAATTTGCTTTCCCGTAAGCAAATAATCTGTCCTGAAGACTTGTGGACTGTGGGATTACTTTTGTTTTTTTTTTATTCACTTTTGTTTTTTTATTTTTTATTTTATTTTATCTGTGTTTTGATTTGAAACAAAACATGTTTAACTTTTTAATTAAATTATAATTATTTTCAGTACTTCTTAATTTGTTTTTAGAAATAAAAAATAAAAATATGTTAAACAAACCTAATAAATAGAATCAGAAACAAAAAATTTGATTCCAATCAAACCCTTAGGGGCCTTTTGGGATAATTTTTGTTTTATTTTTGCTTTTACTTTATTTTGTTTGTGTTTTGATTTGAAATAAAATATGTTTGACTATTTGATTGAAGGAGGATTGTTTTTAAAAACACTAAAAATACTTGAAAGTTTTTTTTGAAGTGTTTTTAAAAGCATGTTAATTTATTTTAAGAAAAACACGCACACAGTAAGGCGGTGTTTGGCAAAATACAATGAACAGGATTTACGGATGGATTTAACTTAAATCCAACCAAACACAAAAAAGTTGAAACTTAAATCCAAGGCTCCATTAAATTGAAATTTTTTCGCATTCTGTCACTTTACATCTTGTTTCATCTCTATTATGATGTAAATCCCGATTTAATATGTCCGAATGAGAGACGTATAAAAGATTTATTCTGTCATCGTCGAGGTCCATCTCCATCGTAGGATTTTTCGGATTTACCAAATCCTATTAAACCTAAATCTCGGTAGTAGCCAAATAACCGCCTAAACAAACATACTTTTAAAAACAAAAGAAAAAATAAAACAAAAATAAAAAACAAATCCCCACTTAATAATTATAACTCTGTTTTATGTTGTTTCCTGAATGATTCAATTCAGTTCTTGTATGATTACAGGCCTGGGAAGCAAAACAACACTGCCCATCCAACAAACCAAACAAGAAAATCCGGCCCTTATGAAACCTTTACTGAAACACAAACAGATTCACAGGTTTGTAAATGACATCAATTGGCTTTATTTTGTGCATATTTAAAAGTGTTTATTGTTAATATCAGTGATGATTCTCTCTTTTCAGGTAGTTGGATATGAGGAAGACTTGTCAGGCATGCAGAAAATAATTGCAAGAGTTCGATCACAGGGCTCGACCTTAATCCCAGATGTTAGGTGAGTAAAAGCCGCATAAATAGTTTTTTTTTTTTTTTTTTTTTTTTTTTTTTAAATGGAACATTTACATACAACCACGCATATCTTATGCATTTACATATCCAACACCTAAACTTTGATATTTACCTACATACCACTGAATTCCTCGACATCACATCAAAAATACCCACCATCCCTATGTTTTTAAAAGTGATAGTCCTTTGCAGTCATAGGTTTATGACACCGAATTAATAATAAGTGTAAATATCAAAGTTTGGGTGTTAAATTTGTGTGGTATGTATGTCAATTTTCCTTTTTTATTTCAATGAATTGATTGCTGAGAGGCACAGGGTGACAGGAAATGGATCATTTGTAGTCTTTAGAGCATCTCATTTATCTTATTCTTTGATTACTTGAAATTGCAGTGAACATTGACAGCTAAAATCTCTGCCACTTTTTTTGATTAATTTTGGGGAGAGCATGCATTCTACGTGGAAGCCAGTCATTTGCACTGAAATGGTTCATTTTAAGGAGATGGATACATCAGGGGAAGCGCCATTCATTATCAAAAAAGAAAAAAAAAAAATCATGAGGATATTCTGACCAGGAAGATTTGAAAATCTATTCTGACTAAATTTTGTTCAGAATCTGCTTTTCAGGATATATTGCCATTAATTGGAACCTTTTTGCTTGCGCTGGCTGATTGTTTTTTGAGGCCTGAAGGCTTTTTCCTCCTGCTTGTTGAAGAATAGAAGCCTCTCTCTGCTTATGTTCAAATGATCACCTACCAAGAAAGTTATATAAGAATTATTCTATAAATGCAATGCAAGCATATGTGAAAAGTTAAATACGTAAGAATTGTGGGTTTAAATGTAAATGATCCATTATTTTTTCAGTATCTCAAATCGATTTCCTTAATTAAAAAAACATACATGCGCCCCCTTCACTGATATAGCAATACTATGTCATATTCATGCTAGAAAATTGTCACATTAATCTGTCCTAATCATTGCACAGAAAAAATCAAATCCATGGCGGCAAAAACTTAGAAAACTATTAACAAAATAATAATAATAATAATACTGCATTTATATCACAAAATACATGCCTTAATCACAGGCAAAATCAGCAGAAAGAAGAGCAAAGCCGCCAGAAAGCAAACTTAGCAGTGAAACTAGACCCAACTTGGAAGCATTCATAGAGAAAATCAAAGGAAAACCAAAATTAGGAATTAGCCACCTCTGAAGCAGCAACAGCAGCTAAATTGGAGCTGGAATCGTCATCAATAACTATGGATCTTAGCAGTTCTTGTCTTTTCATCTCATCCGTCTTTCTACGATTAGCCTCGAGGAAAATGAGAAGAGCAGATATGTCTGCAGGGTTCACCCCGCCAACCCGGCTCGCTTGACCAATTGTTTGTGGTTTGAACTGCATTCAATTCAGAACCAGTTTTTAATTAGAATGATGGATGCTCATGCATTAACATATCTCACACCTAAACTTTCATATTTACACACATAGCACTACAATCTTTAATACACATTTTTATGCATTAGTTTGAAATGCCAAAGTGGTGCTATTTATGTAAATTTCTTTCAAATAATGTGGATGTTGGAATTGAGAACATACAACAACAACAACAACAACAAGCATTTATCCCACTAAATAGTGTCGCCTACCTGAGTCATTTTTCTCCATTGCGTCCTATTGAGTGTCATATTTTCATTTAATTTTAAAAAATTAAGGTATTTTTTTATACAATATGCCCAAGTCTTTCTAGGTCTATCTTTGCCTTTTTAACATAGGTCTATTCTAAAACATCTACTCTCCTAATTGGATCATCAGATGATCGATCGACATTTAATGCGAACGAACCATTTAATTTCTAATTTTATCCGCCATTGGAGCTACACCAACACTATCACAGATATATTCATTTTGCTATCAGCAAGTACAAACATACTCTCAAATTCTTAATAGCCAAAGAAGAGTTCATAGGCTTGTGCAATTATGGTTACTGTCATTTACATCAATACGACAAAATTTCTATGTATTTACATATCTAAAACCTATATTTTGTTTTTTACATTTATAGCACCCATATCTTTCATATCACATCAAATATACCACTATTTTAACTTCTAAAAAGTGAAATGCACATTTTCATGCATGGATAAGGTGTTGGCAATCATGTAAAAGCTGATGTATAGATGTTAGATATGTAAATACATAAGAATTGAGTGGTATGGACGTAAATCTTCCTTAGTTTATCATTTAAAGTATGTGTGGCAAGCCAATAGAAAGCTTATCGAGACAACATGGATACAACTTTCACATGTTTTATGGTAATCATATACCACTAGTCCATTATCAATTCTGCATTTCAACAAAATTATTAAACTTTTTTTTGGAAGATTCACATACCTACATCTAAATTTCTATGTATTTGCATATCTAACACCAAAACTTCAATTTGTACATATATATATGTATATATACAACCTTTCCCATGCACATGTATATTTTATTTGACATTTGAGATGATTCTGAATGCCACATGCATCCAACTATATACAGGGAGTTTTAGTCACCACAGAAAGATCACAGGGCTAGTTCTCATCAAACATATATGGCATAAACAAAGGAAAAAAGTGAAATAATAAAAATCAAATAAATATTTACTGCAAAACTCTTGCAAAGTCAACATGCACAGGTTGTTGCTTACCTTTGAAAGTTTTTCTCGTGCTTCAAGTGATAAGGTTGTCATCGAATGGTAATCCAGATTATCAGGGAGTTTTCTGTGTTGCTGTTTGACTATCTGTAATTCACAACAATTAATAAGAAATTTATGACCCAAAAAAGCATCATCACAAGTAATAAAGAAAAAAATTCACAGGAAACAATTTAACGTTGCAATTTTGATTATGACCAAAGTCTATATAAATGATAGGGAACGCCAAATAAGTGATACTCAACGCACAAAGTCAAAGTCCCCCTTCTTAAATGCTCATGGATACAATCTTCTGAATCTTATATAAGTGCATATTTGCATAGACAAAGTCTAGAGATATTTGATATAAACCTGGGAGACCTGCTCATGATTTATCAAAAAATAATAAAGTATCAGATTCCATAACACAAGTGACATACTTAAAACTCCTAAATACCAATTGTGAGGGTTACTAGCATCATCCCCTTGGCAAGAAGATTGCAAGTATTTAGCACAATATTTTTTTTTTAACCCTCAATAAGCCTCGATAGGGCATTCAATCATAATTAAATAAATAATTATGATTGTTTTTTTTATATTTTTTAATTATTTTCAAATTAATTAATCTAGCATATTGATTTATTCTTTTTTGTAAGTATGCAATATGAGTCATCCTAATGTAATTGTCCAATTTTGCTCATAAATATAACACCTTTTTGGAATGCTTATGCTTCTTTAATCTTTCAAACTTAATTGTTTAACAATATCCTTTTATTTCTTTATGTCAACGTATAAGTTTGTTGGAACTTATTTATGTTGTATGATTGTAAGAGACCTTGTTGTGACTTATTTTTTACCTTATTTAATAGTATCAAAAAGTTAGGTACCAATTATAAATTTATGACTTATTCTTTTAAGACTTTAAAACCATTTTTTAATATGACAAACCATGGGAATTGACTTGATATTATTTGTTTATGTTCTCGTTTATTAGCACATTAACTTTAGCAAGCCAAGTTGAATCACAAACAATTCTAAGGTCATTTACATACATAGCACACATTTTATTTACACATCTCAAACTTAGAACTTTCAAATTTACACACAAGGCACTTAATCTCACAGAAAACAGCACTATTACCACTTTTTAAATGTTTATGTATAAATTTAAAGCACCAAAGTGTTACGTACGTAAATATGAAAATTTAGGTGTGAGAGATGTAAATACACAAGAATTGAGTGCTATGTATGTAAACTTCCCCTAATCCCAAATAAGTCAAATAAGAAAAAACATGTGAAAACTTTGTCTGTGGCTTGAAATGAAATAGAAAAACTTAATAGTATGCCGAAGCCAAGTAGTCCAATGGTGTGTTTCGCTCAGTTAGAATCAATTACCTCCCAGTTAACCATAAACAATATTTTTTCAATGCTACATTACCTAAAAGCATCGATCATATCACGTTATTCATCACCTCGCACTGCAAAACATGAGGAAAAAAGTAATCTATTATCATGAAGCAGCTCACCTGGTGAAGCTGAGTCTGCTGGCGCAGAACAAACCCTTCATATTTAATGTCGATTTCGACGCACTCTTTCTCAATCCTTGAAAGAAGCTTGTTCCCATGGCCATATCTATCAAAAGCCTCATAGTGTACATGAGGCTTTTTTAGAATATTTTCGAGCGTGGAGGAATCTTTGACAGGTTGTCCCGACAGCCGACTAACTTCAGAAGCCAGGTCATCTCTTGCTGCAAAATAATTTTTTTAGGAATATTTACATACATACCACTCAATTCTTGTGTATATGCATATCTAACACCAATACTTACAATTTTTACATACATGACACCTCTATTCTTGAAAAGGTGTATTTCACTTTATGTGATATGAAAGATTTTGGTGATGTAAATGTAAGGAATTGGAAGGCAAATATGTAAATGCCACGATAAATTTTTCTCTCTCAAGAACATGAATATATGCTCTAAAGTATGTAAGCAGCTATCAATAATACTAAAAGTTGGAAGCCACGTGAAGACCCACATAATACGAAACATATTTGCAACAAATACCGGAGTGCATATAAAGAATGCAAATTACAAATTTAACCTGAGATGTGGACAGTCTTTAGTCTTTGTTTTTCTTCAGAAATCATAGATTGCTTGGACGCGTATAAAGCCCAACGTCTATCATCTATCAAACCAATTTCTCGTCCTAGAGGAGTTAAACGGCTATCAGCATTGTCAGCACGAAGAAGCAACCGGTGCTCTGAGCGGCTAAAGAAAAGCATAAGAAAATGAGAAATGAAGTAGAAAGACATATAGTCATACAGAAGATTTATATCCTTACCACTCAATTCCTATGTATTTACATATCTAACGGCTAAACTTTAACTTTTACATACAAGCCAACTTACTTATGCATGAAAAGGTATATTTCACTTTTTAAAAGTTAAAATGATGGTATATTCGATGTAATATAAAAAATTTGAGTGGTATAAATGTAAAAAGTAAAGTTTAGGTGTTAGATATGTAAATAAGGTGTTAGATATAGGTGTTAGATATGTAAATACATAAGAATTAAGTGTTATGTATGTAAATGCCACATACATAAGAAAATTAGTGGCACGAATGTAAAAAGGGGTGGTAAAAATGTACGAGTGGTAAGAATTATGTGGTACATATGTAAATTAACAAATTAAAGTTCAGGTGTGAGTTATGTAAATACATAAGAATTGAGTGTTATGTATATAAATTTTTCCCTTAAATTAATTACAAGAATGTTCAAAACTAAACAAAATCAATGATAATGATACCTCGTTAACATTCGATAAGGCTCCCTCAAATCTTTAGTGACAAGATCATCAATAAGAGTGCCAATAAAACTGCTTTCTCTCTCAAGGATGATAACAGGTTTGCCAAATGAATGCCTTGCAGCATTGATTCCAGAGATGAGACCCTGCGCTCATAGATATTTAGAATTTCAAAGAATTAGAAGACAAAAAAATAGAAACAATCCATGAAAAAAAGTTGGCTTCACACGGGTTTTGCAAACCGAACAGTTTTTTAGAGCACAAAATACGGAGTCACAACGAAAATTGGGGCAATTACATACATAACACAAAATTTCTATGCATTTACACCCTAAACATTATATTTTACATTTCTACCACCCAAATCTTTCATATCATGTCAAAAATATCAGTATTTTAATTTTCAAAAGTAAAATACACCTTTTTCATGCATAGGTAAGGAGGTATGAATGTAAAAATTACAGTATAGGCGCTAGATATGTAAATACATGGGAATTGAGTGGCATGTATGCAACTTTTCCAGGAAAATTAAATGCAAGAGAAAATACGAAACCTGAGCAGCAGCTTCTTCGTAGCCCGTCGTACCATTTATTTGACCCGAAAAGAAAAGTCCTTCAAATTTTTTGGTCATAAGAGATCTGGAGCATTGGTGGGCAGGCAAATAGTCATATTCTACAGCATAAGCGGGTCTGAGCATCAAACAATTTTCTAGTCCAGGTAATGTTCTCAAAAGTGCTAATTGTAGTCTCTCAGGTAGACCTGTTGAAAACCCCTAGTTAAAAATAATTTTATATTTAGTTTTAAGGCATAAAAATTTGCCATTATAATCACAATTGGATGGTTCTATTTTTTTTTAGGTAACCACTAAGAGTGCAAATATGCAAGCTAGAACTTCTGGCTGAAAAAAAAAGGTTATGTTTTAAGAGAACATATGCACTATGCAAGAAGAAATATGCAAAGAAAAGGAAAATAAACAAAACCGAGAATAGTCATAATCTTCAACAGACAAATCTATGCGATTAATAAAAAGTAAGCACTAAATTAGTAATCATTGCTTGAAATTTGGTCATATGAAGGGACTTTGTGAAAAAAGTGGCATCTATTCAGAGAAAAAGGAGACGAATCATAATATAAAAATGTAAAAATAATTAATTTATCTATAGAACAAAGTGGTTACCTGCACATAGAGCTCAGGAACATTTCTGCCCTCAGGTTCAAGAAAAATTTGGTGGGAGTCTTTGTCTTGGAACCTTACAATCTGCCAGAAAGTTAATCTTAGTAAAGCCTAAAGAAAGAGTCTAGAACATATTACTAATCTATATGTTGCACAAATAGCCCCTATATAGATGAGTGCCAATGATAAAAAATTTTCCCCAAAAATATTTGAGAAATTTACATACATGCCGCACAATTCTTATGTATTTACATACCTAACACTCACAATTTTACATTTACATTTATAACACCTTGATGTCATAAACCTATCAATGAAAAGGCTATTTCACTTTTAAAAAGACAGTGATAGTGGTATTTTTGAAGTGATGTTAGAGATTTGAGTGGTATGCATGTAAATATAAATATTTACGTGTTAGACATGTAAATTCATAAGAATTGTGAGGCATGCATGTAAATGCACCAAAATATTTTGCAGACTACATATAGCTGCAGATAAATATTGTTATGTGATGTGTGCATGACCATTTGGAGTAATTTTTTTAACAAACATAATTGAATTTGTTAAAAGCATCTATTATATAGGAATAAAAGCAAATTATTAATTCAACCTTTTAAACTTATTCTTCAAAACTTTGAAGTTAACAATATTCGACAAGGAAAATGTGCAAATATTTTCTAATAACTTTTTTTTCCTATATTTCATTGAAAGGTGCAATAGTGGTATGGGTGGTTTCAATATTCGGTTTGTGTGTCGAGGGATATAGTTTGGTTAGAGGTGACTAATGATAAGTGACTATCATTGAATTAGTGTTAACTTACCAAATTTTATGCTGTTTATTAGCTAAATGATGTAAAATGATGAATCACATGATAAATATAGATTAACACAGGAAGATTTACATGCATTCCACTTAATTTCTATACGTTTGCGTATCAAACATCTAAACTTCAATTTTTACAGATACGTCGCCTTACCTATGCATGAAAAGATGTATTTCAATTTTTAAAAATTAAACTAATATATTTTATGGATATGAAAAATTTGGGTGGTGTAAATGTAAAAAATAGTTTAGGTGTTAGATATGTAAATTCATAGAATATGGGGTGGTATGTATGCAAATGCCCCATTAATATACAGAACAAACCATATGGTTTACCTTATCTTCAATCGATGGGCAGTATCTCGGTCCCTTTGCTTCTACCCAACCACCATAAGTTGGTGTTTCATGTAAGTTATCTCTAATAAGCTGATGTGTATCTTTTGTTGTTCTTGTCAAATAGCAGCACATTTGTTGTTTTTCTATGTGGTACTCAGGATCAAAACTAAACCAACTTACCTGCCATTAAAAAACCACTGGTCAGACAAAAAAAAAACTTGCGATGATTTTCTTGTCTCTCAAATACTATTTCTTAGAAAGGGATCCTTAAACCAAAATCCATGAAAGTTTTGAATATTTAAAAAGAAAGTAACACGATATTCTCACTTCTAGAAGAATTGGAGAGAGGTGCACACCCTATAAAGTTCATAGCACATACAATGCTCGCATAAACACAAAAGAAAAAATTATTCTTTAATACGATAATGAAACAATGTGTGCAACAACATCACGTGATTATACCCTTACAGTTAATAGCATTAGGCCAAACTATTCAAATTAATCAAGAGTTGGCGCCTCAAAGACAAGTTTAGAGTCGAGCTTAGAACCCCTAACAAAAAATAAGAAACAAAACAAAACAAATAAATAAAATGCATTAAAATTTTGTCAAATAAGCAATTATACGTACTAAATATTTATATTTTGTAGTTTACATAACTCTATCATAGCCTAGAACATGGAATTCATTTGAAATACAACTTGGGTATGCTTAGCTTGTTAGTCAGTAGCTGCCCATTAATTAGATCTACAATAAAGTAGAACACGCACAGGGTACAAAATTCATAGACCCATTTGTAAAATAGTAGTGTAAATCAAACAAAGCAGAAACATTGAAGGATGTATTATATAGAATAATTAATGAGCGTGAGGGGTGCAAGGTTGCTTGATGTGAGTTTTGCTCAAGAACTTTTATAATGGCTAATTTACTAGTACTAAACTTTTACATACCATGTACTTTCTGTATAACTCCTTCATAAAACTAGTACTAATAGAGATCAAGGTAAGAGAAAAGTTTTAAAAGGGGAGGCTTACTCCATAAGAGGATATTAACGGTTGTTAGCTTTTGTTTAAGCATTTACATCCTTCATGCTTGCCCATGACTCCTTAGACCTTCGTACATTTAAATAATCCTTTAAATTAATGTCCTTAAAACGGTTTTGTGACAATTTTTATCTCATTTTGAGAGTCATCATCATCATTAATTTCATCATAATTATTTGAAGTTAGTTTTATGAATCCTCATTTTTATTCATTCCTATTACAAGCGACAAGAGCTGTTAACTCTATTTTGCGTAAGTTCTTTTGCAATACTTCAAATGATATTACCCTTGGTCTTATATTAAATCCCAATTTTCTTCATCATGATAAATCATTTATTTTATGCTTATAAACTCATTAATCTCAAACCTTCTATCTACCACGAACCAATCTTCGGAATGTGCTACTCAACCATCTATTTTTAATCACTTTATCCTTTCTAAATTTATCAGATCACCATCTCAACATTCACTCTACAGACTAAATGTGATCGTCAAGGAATTTTACATCGCTCAAGATATTGCATTTACGTAGCATAGTCATGCTAACTACTTATAAAATAAGCACAGGTCTTCATAATATCCTCCTACCACATAGTACATGCGAGGCTCTTCTATATTGAGCTATCAAATTTAACTCAGAAGTTATTTCCTTATCTATAGCACCAATTTTGTGTGATCCAAAGTATGTAAACCTATTACATAAAAAAATCACTTCATTTGCAAGGCTGCCACTTGATATCTATTCTAAATCAACTAAATTTTAAATTTTATTTTAATTTTATTCTATTAAACCTTAGTCTTTCATTATCCTTTAATTTTGACTATGCTTAAAATAAGTCCCCTTATTTCCTCCATTTTTCAACTTCTTGCTTGCTCAAAAGCTCTTAACATAGCTTTGATGGTTGATTGTAAACCAAATATTGACCTCAAACTATCTCATAAGGCATAGGACCTACAAGAAAATATGTTTTTTTTAGTTTTTTTTATCTTAGCTGTAGAAATTATTGTCGATGACATGAATTTTTACCAAGTGTATATGTGATATTGCAGGATGGTTCACAATGCCCACTTTATCAAACCACAATTCAATTAGGTTAAAAATTTGTAAATAATATTTTAACTAGAAACTCATCTCTTTCATAAATCATAATGTATCAAATTATAGTAATAAAGAGCAATACTTATATCTAGGTGACATGTCGAAATTGATGCAGGTGTATAAAGGCCTAGGATTGTTAATATAACTACAATAATATAATGAATGAAGATGGCATAAGAAAACAAGGATTGGCAGATCCATAATCACTGATTTCATACAAGCTCGTTTTATTTAGATGTAAAATAAAAAAGGTGCAGAATCAAATCAAAACGATAATTCAACAACCGAAACATTTAAGGAAAACAACAAGAAATTTGATCTTTGAATAAATAAGAAATTTTGAATTTTTTTTCACCACAATGAATCCTAATTTTAGCAAATTCAACAACAAAAATATACAGCAACACCAACAACTAAATAATTGCGAAAAAAAAAGATAAAAGAAACAGAACAACAAAATGAAGAAAATCCCAATCTAAACACTAATAGAAACAGATAAACTCCCCCGAAAATTCTTGCTGCGCTAACAACACACTCAAAAGTATCCCCATCTAACAAACACACAAGAATGAAAGAAAAAAAACTGAGCGTTTATTAAAAAAAAGTTAATTTTTACCTGTCGAAACACAATTTTCTGTAAGGTTAGCAATCTTCTAGATTGTTTTGGGTGTTAGAATCATTTTGAAATCAGCCACCACAATAGATTCAAGGGAAAAGGATGTTTGGATAAATAATGCAATAATAGCAGGCAAATAATAGTAGTAGTAGGTTAGCATCTCATAATAATAGAGGCCTCTAATAACAGTAAGAAGAAAAAGAATTTATAGAAATACGTGGCTAGCTGTAGGTCAAAGCAAATGACTTAGTCTAAAGTGAGAACCAATAAACTTGAACAAATATTGTAACCAAACATATGAACTAGCTGATGAACCCCAAAAAAAAAAAATCCAAAAAATTCATCAAATCCACTAAATTGAATGGAACCACGGAATCAAAAGATAGAGAACACATCCTGCCTCCATAGGTCACATCATCACGGGCTTTTATAAATAAAATAATTTCAATTGAAAAAAAAAACAATAAAAATAATCCTTAATTATCAGATTAGCAAACTGCTTGTCATAGTCCCCATCCCTTGGCATCGCAAGTGATCAAAATTCTTAACTAGAATGTAATTAAGGTACATTCAAAAGTTCAACTAAAAAGACTTCATGATGGACTTGCCAGAAGCTCAATTTACACACTCTCACTAAGAGACTTGATTTTTTAATTGGAAAATTGTTACTTTACAATTTTGACTTAGCTTGCATTCACTTTTGTGAATGGAACAAAAAAAAACCCTCAGCAATCCAAACAAATAACAAAAAGCACTTGCAGTGGTTTTTTATACACAACGTATTCCTTTTTATGAAGTGATTGTTCATGTGAGGCTGTACTTGGGAGTGTGGGAGGGAGGACAAATATAAAAATATTTTAAAAAAATCATAATTCTAAAAAAATAATAAAGAAAAATCTAACAAAGTGACATCCTGACATCACAATTTCAAAAAAGTATATAAAAAAAAAAATGCTTCATACACTATGCCAAAAACACTTCCAATTCATAACTTACACTACCTCTTCATCTCCATATTGTGGTTCCAAACCAAAAAAATCAACAGTACGGCAATCAACACGCGCAGGAGTTCCAGTTTTAAGCCTGTCAGTTTCAAAACCCAAAATTTTCAGGTTTTCAGTAAGCCCAACAGAAGCTGATTCCCCGGCTCGTCCAGCAAGCATTGACATCCTTCCAACCCATATCTTTCCACTCATAAAAGTGCCGGTAGTGAGCACAACTGAGGGAGCATAAAAGTTCATTCCAAAAAATGTATGGACACCTTCCACATTATCATTATTGCCAACCAGCACCTCCGTTACCATAGCCTCTCTGATAAAAAGATTGGGGGTGCTGCAAACGTATCATAAGATAAGCCATGTAAGATAAATAATAAGAATATTTCAAACTCAAAGAACCATGCAAACATAAAAGGAAAGTGTTTGCAAAAGAAAACATTTGAATAGCTTTATTTGTTTATATAAGATTAAAAATAAGAATCCTCTACAGCAATATTACAACTTAGATGATGTATATATATATTACCGTGGATTGGTCAGTACTCCATCGAGATAGATTTCTTCCTGTAAACCACAAAAAACTAAAAACCAACCAATATAACCATCCTAAAAAGTTTACTAAAACATGAAAGTCATATTCATTTACATATTAATATGAATCTCAGGCCAGCATCCGGAAGAAGGCTAGAAATTAAGATTAAAAAAAAGATAAAAAGTAAAAGAAAAAAGTGAGCTGCCATAATAATAAAACAAATCAAACTATCCAAAAGCAATGAGCAGTTTTTATTTATCCTATTTGCTTTATTCATACAAAAAACTTCTCGGTGTATTCAAACTTAATGGGTTTCCTAGCTATATTTTCTAAATCCAAATTGAGTTAATGTATGCATAAATGTTTGGGCTTAGTCATAGCTATAGCGTTTATTAAAGCCTTAAATGGATTTTAAGAAATGGAACCACCTAAATTGCTTTAAATTTAAGGGCCTAGCTGTGTTTTTGAAACCCAAATTGAGTTATGCATGCATAAATGTTTGGGCTTAGTCCTAGCTATGCAATGTTCATTAAAGCCTTAAATGGCTTTTAAGAAATGAGACCACCTAAATTGCTTTAGATTTTAGGATTTATAAAAGGTGGAACTTTACATAAGATATCCTAATAAATGATCCAAAAACTCTCAAACCAACCGGCATGGCCATACCGCAAATTTCTTCTTCATAGAATAAGCAAGAATTGGAAAGGCCTTTCAATAAGCTTGTATTTTGATTGAAAATAAAATTGATCAAATGCTAGCTAGTTGTGACAACTACCATCACTTCTACAAAAGTGGAGATCCTTCGATCGAGCTAAATCATTAGTAAGGTATTAAGGATCCAATTTAAGCAGAATCTCCGACAAACTCACGAGAAAAATAATGGTGACAAAATGGTGTACTAATTATTTGATTAACGATCATCATAAAGGCTTTGAAATTCTATATGGGAAGCTTCATAAATTGACCTATGTAGAAAATTGAAATTAAAAGAAACATATAAAAATTAATATCTATAGTTATATATGCAATAAAGAAAAAAAACTCTCAAAAGAAGAGAACAATTAAATAAAATGCAAAAGAGTATGAATATTTGACTAATCCTCAAATTTTCAATAAAATAAACCTAGCATCATGAAACGGCTTTCACCAGTATGCAATCACAAGTAAAATACCAAGGCATAGAAGGAATCTAGACAAAGGATGTATATAAAGTTTCTAAAATATACCAACCTTTCAATAACTTTTTTCATTTCCATGGCATACTCTCTCTTATCTGTCTGAGCACGCAGTGCCCTCACAGCAGGCCCTTTAGAACGGTTTAAAACCCTCTTTTGTAAGTAGCACCTGCAATATAAAATTAAAGGTTGAAGAAGGAAAGAGCATGGTAGAGATTAAAACTGCCAAAAAAGCTTTTAATCTAATTAACCATTTTGCTAGCTTAAAGTTCTGTTTTATTAGCAAGCTTTGATGTGCTTGCTTAAACATTGGGACAAACATAGCTAACACACTATTGTGTGTATGATATCGAAGAAGGTGTAGGGACTCTACCACAAACATTTCTAAATGAAAAAAAAGAATAGCCTTGCAGTTCAATAGTACACTGAAAAAATAAATAATTTAAAAATGATTCACTTCATAATATGAAAAGCTTAGAAATTATAACCAAATAAAAACTTCAAGCCTTCCATTCAAAAAAAAAAAAAAAAACAAATATTGAAGCTTTTGCATTTAATGTGAATTAAAATTAAGCATTCACGCATGCATAATTGAGTTCAATCTGCAAAAAAGGATGCATTATAAGCACAGTGGAATCTACTTTACAGGTTGTCAATATAAGGAAACATTAAAATAGGGATGTTGTTTATATTTGGAGAGTAGTTAATGTTTATTTGGGTGTCTTAAGAAGTTTGTACTTGTTCCCCCATTCTAAATAAAAAAAAAAACCCTAATAAATATGACACACAAAAACAATCTTCTTCTCAAAAAGGTGTTGAGAGAGGGAAACTCTACCCTAGTTGTCGCCCTCCTAAATTTTGGAAATCCTACTCTATCCCCCTGGCCCCATTTGCCTCAATCTATCCAAATCACAATGACTTGTTCATTTGCCCCGCTCTACTTTAGCGGCTTTTACCTGCCAACACTATGCACCACACCCCCATGATCCCAAGCAAAGCTCATGCTAAAACCGATACCAACAACCCACCCCATTCTGCCAGCACAACCCGATCTTAATGCACGTTCACTCAACACTCATTCTCATGTTCACACTCAATCTATCATATGTATAGCCATGAACTTTAATTCATGCTCACCCCTACAATATCAATCCCCAACATCCACCCATGTTAGTGATAATCTCTATTATAGCCATAGCTTCCCTCACTGCTTGAACCCTACATTGGGAACAACCATATCATGTCTCATCTTTTAAAGAGATAAATTGAACTCTCAAAATTCTACATGTCTTTACACAGTCATGGATTTCAATCTCTTCATAATGACTCGAAAATCACCTTTATCATCAATACCACAACCAAATTTAATTGAGCTAAAAAAGATATGTAAATCGACGAATGATATTTCACTATAAGATATAAATGAGACAAGTTAGTTCAATTCCACTCCTCAATATTTACTAAATTATTTGGCATAATCAATACAAAAAATTAATTATTGCCGAATGTATCTCTCATTAGCATCCTTCCCTATAATATACCCAATCAACCTCTATCTTCATGATATCTCTTCCTTTGTATTTATTACAATTATCTCTATTAATATATCCTAAATTTTGCATTCAAGTATCACTTCATATATGATAATTAATCACCAATTGTTTTTATCTCTCCACATTTCATTATTTTAATCGTTCTCTCTCTCATTTCTTAAAAATAGTGTACAACCTTTTAAATTTGTCATTTTAAAAAATTTTACGTATCCCACAAAATTTTGTCTATTAATTATCCTATAGAGACTCATAATTGTTCAACAATTTTTTTTAACATTCTTATTGGACAATTTAGGATCCAATCACTCAATGAAGACAATTAATAGAGGTGTTGAATCTACTTTTTTATAGTTGATTCTCATTCTACTCTCTTCTAATATTACTTCATATTAATGATAATGATAATTGCGCCACGACACAACTCTAGGCTTAGAATTAGCCAAGACGAGAACAGACGGTCATACCGTATAATTAATATTTCATTTACTTTTCACAGATTATCATAACTTTGAATTTATAACAAAATCACGAAGAAATCACAAAGTATATTACATTAGAAAAATCAAATTATACAGATATAATAGCAAATTTTGAAAAATAAAACATCTCAAACCAACACATAACAGTATATCACTACTCAAAAGTAAACAATACAATAATTATAATCATAATACACAATATATTATTTATTAACAGTAGACCAGAAGATCTTTTACTGTAAACTATCTTTCACCTGCCACTCATATCAATCTAATATTTTTTCAGAAAGCAACCATTAACTTTCAAGAATAAATTATATCACTTAGTGAGCAATTACAATCTTTTTATGTATTAAATTAACATGCAAATATTATGCATGAATGTCTCGGTAAAATTCAATTTATTGATAAATCAAGCTGTAAGCTTTCATTTATAATTTAACCATTCTTGTTTCAATTTAAGTATTTAATATTTTAACATTTTTGGGAAGTCATATCAAGATTAATGTCATACTCGGATGAATTTATAAAATTGTATCTATAGATATCCTAAAAAATTTGCACCTAAGGTACACTAACATTCCCATGCACGAGCACATCACATCTCTTACCAGTACCATCTGAAGATAATCTTATATGACTTAAGCTTTTACATCTCATTTTCTTTAATTTCCTCTTTTTAAAGTCATTGAATAATAATTTTTTATTTTTATCATTTCATTTTATTTCATGTGCATAATTATAAAAAGATAGGTATCTAAAGCAATAATGCAAGTCTTCATTTAATAAAATATCAATTTAATACATATAAGAAAGTAATCACTAACCTGAAGTCCTAAAGTATGAATGTCTTTCTCTTTCTCTTGAATTATCATTTTCTTATTCTTCAATTAACACTAGTTGTACCTTTAATCATTAGTCTAAATTCATTATATTAATATTTACTTAATAGCATCTTAATTACTTAAGCATAACCTTTTATATACATAAAATATCCAAACTATTACCTTACCAAAACTTGCTCAGATCGATAGTCTTTCCAACAAAATCTTCCAGTTCAAATATCTATTTTAAATTCATAAGCTATAAATGTTAATATTATAAAATAAATAATTAATTAAATTTATATAAATAAAAAACTTATAAAATTGGATAACTCACCTCCTTACAGCTCGGTTCGATCTTTACCGGCATGCATGCGAGCCTTCTCTTCTTCCTTATACCCTAGACTTTGAGCGTGGCTCAACTTCAACACCGCATGATGAGCCGATCTCCTTCCTCTTTCCTTCGGCTAGATTCGACACGACGATGACATCACACGCAAGGCTCCACGAAACTACGGTTCTTCCTCTTCCCTCAGCTAGGGTTTTCTTCTTTGGTTATGCAAGAGTCGAAGCCTCCCACAGACGTAAGTGGCGACTTCTTCCCTTCCTCCTCTTTCCACTTCTTTACTCTTCTCCTCTATCGATTGGCTAGGGCACACATAAAGCTTTTCCTTTTCCTTGATATATGTATATATGTGTGTGTGTGTGTCACGTACCTCAGCATATTGGTTGACATCCACAGTATTAAGACCCCTCAGGTTCGGGGTTCGAATCCCCTCTCCACAGTTGGCTTTAAGGAGATGGTACTCGAATTGTTACACATTAGGGGTGGCTGGAGGCTCGTATAATAGTCTTTGGTCATTCCTTTATATATATATATATATATATCGATTTTTCCATGATTCCAAAACAAGGGAGCCTCCTTAGGTGAAACTATCGAGGCAATTATTTGATTCCACCGATTCAATTTTTTTTAATTATTCTTTTTAGTATTAAAATTTCTATTATTATAGTTGGGTCATACTCTTCATAGGGGACTTCAATATTATGCTCTTATCTCTTTGTCTCCCCCAGAGTTTAAATTTAGCATGATTATAAATTAACGCCATCATGTATCATTTCCCTTTTATATTGGCATCAAAAGCTTGTTTTTTGAGCTTTTTCACTTGAATATTTGGAGTCATATACTTACCAATGATTATTCAAGAGTCACTTAGATATCAATCAGAGGACTATGAATTTCAAACTATTTGTTAAAAATAAAAATCCAATTTGCTACATTAAACTAACTTTAATTGTTGATGATGCAAAATAATTTATAAAATCTCAATAATCACTAAATATATTATTTTGCGCTTATATATCATAGTCTACTAATTAAACTAGTTAACTTCACTATAGCACTATTCCACTACAAGACTATCATGTATGGTTCTAAATAAATTAGGTGATTATACACAGTAGCATAATAAATAGAGACATCCCGCTCTGAAGCCCCAATATTGTCCCTTAGTTGCTAAGTCGCTTCTAACCACATAAACCCATTATGACAATTAGCGGCTCATAAATGTCCAAAGATTGCAGTGCTCGTTTGCCTCTTCGTGCATTAAGAAAGCTCATCTCTTGATTGATTCCTATTCTCTGGCCCATATTATGAAAGATCTTACGAAATTTTTCTAATACCAAGATCCCTAAGATCTTACAAAATTTTTCTAATACCAAGATCCCTTCTCTCAGCACTCAACTAGCATACATGCAGGGATCCATCAATAAGATCAAAGGCTAAGAAAAAGTCTCCGGCTTCCACATCCTCCTGCCATGTGCTGGTAAAAAATTCTCTCAGTCTTTCCTTTTGATTTAAATATAGGGCAGATTTAGGCTGATTTTGGAATTGTAAACCATACTGTCAACACTTTTGACAAAATTTCAAAAGAAGGTATTTTGCCTTGCATAAAAAAAAATAATAAGAAAATAAAATTAAAAAAATTGAGAATGAAGATAGTTCCACTCCAGATATTTTCTTAATAAAAGAAAGCAGACCAAATTCCATTAAATGTTTTCCAATTCATGCAAATCAATCAACTACTAACAATGTGTACGGATAAACTAGTAGGAAGACAATGGCTTACAAATAAAAGGCAACCAATTAAACACATGATTAAAATCCCAACCAAAGAGAAATATTTAACCAATTTAACCAACTCTAAATACCACAAAAAAACGAAGAACAATGAAAAGTCAAACCAAATCAAAACCTAAAGCATTGCAATCTCAAAAAATTTGATCATAGCATTTTATAAACGCCTTAAACAAGAGTTAGGGACACATGGATAAAATATCAGCCTTTTGGGGTTTTCACCTACTTATCAGCAATTTTTCCAATCTCCCCGCCAAGGGCATCAACTTCATGTACCAGCTGAGATTTGGCAGGGCCACCAACTGCTGGATTGCAAGGCTAAAAAATCAAACAAAAATTGCCATCATTTGTCCACATAATTATTCTTGAAATCAGACTGCATAGTTATGAAAGCCAGATACATACAATACAATCACGAAAAAAAGAATTCTAATTTCTACACTAATGTTTGCAGTACAGAGAGAGCATTCAAGGAAAAATTAGAAATAAATGAAAAGCTTCAATCGGCGATCAAAGGTCCAATGGAAAGGAAGAAAGTTTGATAAAGACAAAAATGAATTGCCAGCTGTCAGAAGTACATTCCAAGAGCATAAATATGGAGTAAACGATGAAAAACCAAAGAAAAAAATGTTCTCTCTAACTGCGACAGGAAATACATGTTTATAATGGAAATCATCTCTAGGTAATAAAATTAGATAGCTTCCATGTGCCTGCTCTCATGGTATGATGACACAATGCAGATCTACATAACTACAATTTAGTGAGAGCAATTTTTAGCTTCTTTTAAATGACAATCTATCAACTAAGGGTTTATTTAGGATAGTTTTCCGTCTGCTTAACGTTTTAGAACCCACCACAGTTCTATGTAGGGGATCATTTCTTGCTGCTTCCTAGAATTTTTTTGTGCTGAAAAACTACTTTTTTGATGGTGAGTGTAAGAAAACAGTTGTCTAATTTTTTGGAAAATAAAAATATTTATAATTCACACAGCAACTTTCTAAGAAGTTGATTTTCCCACCATAGCTCTACATCATTATTATTCTAGTAAAAATAATTTTTAGCTTCTTTTAAATGACCATCTATCAACTAATTAATAACTAGTTTTTGTCTGCTTCAAAGCAAAATTATAGACCCCCTGAGAATGGCAACTACAAACAGTGAAAAAAAAAACAATTTAGTTTAACATGAAAATAGGTATATCATTTTGCTTATCAAAAAATGGGAAATCTCATGGCATAGTGCACCTTCCTACTTTCATATTCAGATAACATGGTATATATTAGTTCAATTAAACCAATCTTCTTTTTCGTTCTTTGAAAACTTACAATCAACTAACTTGAAAATGCATAATCAAGAACCTGCATCGGCAGTCGTCGCATTTTTTGGACCTAAGTATAAACAGCTAAATAGGGATATTAAAATAAATAAATAAATAAGCTAAAAAAAAAAGTTTAATTAGTCTCCTTCCACATATTCCTCCATCAACTCTCCACCTCCCTCGTGCTTCTCCACCCTTCTTCTCTATGTAACAATCATTCTTGGTATTATTTTGTCTATCCTACTTTATAAGCCAAAACACAGCTTATCGGGATGATTTTTTGTTTTTATTTTCACTTGAGCACTTCTACTAAAAAATATCAATTATTAAATTCTAATTATTTCATAATTACTTCCCTCTCCAGTATAATATTCTTTGATAGGATGCGTTAGATCTTTTTGTACAAACCACCGAGCTTATCAAAATCCTTTATCCTTTAAATGGCATTACTTAATTTGATTTTTTTGTTCTTACTCCTATACTTAAGCATAGAGCCATCAAAAGAAATTGTGAAGAGCGACCAAAAAAAAGCAAGAATACTTCTAAATATCATGCATATACAAACTCAATTATATTGAATTGCCAAGGAGCTCAGGCTAGAATGTAATGCTTAGCTTGCTGCTATTATGATCATGTGACAGGGAGATCGAATCCAAAAACAACTCCCAATTTAGAGGTGAAGTTGATAATATAAAGCAACACCTGAACCTTAAAATCAATAGGGGGCTCATGTACTAGATGAACAATTCTTCCTAATGGCTAACAAGAAAAAGGCAAATTTACATACATAACACGCAATTCTTCTATATTTACATATCTAACACCCAAACTTTGATATTTACACTTATAGCACCTTGGTGTCATAGAGCTATGCATAAGAACTTGTATTTTACTTCTAAAAAAATAGTGTTGGCAGAATTTTTGATGTGTAGTTAAAGAATTAAGTGATATGTATGTAAATATGAATGTTTAGGTGTTAAATATGTAAATACATAAGCATAGTGTGGTATGTATGTAAATGCCCCCCGCCAGCATACAAAAACAAGGAAAAAAGAGTGACCTGCCAAGCAATGCGATCAATATTAAGTGTCAAAAGAAGAGTTCTTGCACCAAGACGAGCAGATGCAAGTGCGGCTTCACACCCTGCATGCCCCCCTCCAACAATAATCACATCATATCTCTCTTCAGATGCTTCAGTATGAACTTTCCAATCTGTGCCCATTAAAGAAACATGGTACAATCATGAGCCATTGTTGTAAGAAAAAAAAAATTTTTTTCCAATAAATAAAATGGAAACAAATCAAAATAGTTATTTTTCTATGAGCTGATTCCCATCATACTGCAATGCACTAAAAATATAATAATAATACAACACGGTAATATAAGATGGATTTCTTATAGATAAAACTGTAATCAGGATTTCTAGATAAAACCTTAGAAAACAAAAACCTCAATGAGTTAGCTAATTAATGAAAACTTAAGTTCTGCCAGATTTTATCAGAAAAATATAAGGAGAGAAGGAATTCATGACATTTATGTAAGCATTCAACAGCTTTTAGCACAATAAAGTCTACCAGAAGTTGGATCTTCCGCGGAATAAAGGCAATAACTGTACATTTTCAGCAACTAAGAAAGTCAGTTTACCTTCTCAGCAGTTATAAAAATAATTCAAACTAAGAAATTTAGGAACCTGTTTTGTCAACAATGATGTTTTAATAGATTATTTTCATTTAAAAAAATGAACCAAAAATGATTTGGTGAATCATAAAATAAACATAAAAAACTTACAATTTGTGCATCAGCATCAATTGAGCAGCAATGACAACCAGAGTTCAAATCTATTCCTCGAAGAACTCGGCAATATCATATACTAATAGATTCTTGGATGCAAAGCCAATTATTTTGTCTAGTTCTCTATATCATTGAGCCATTCCAATCCTCTATATTCCCATGTTTTCATACCATTTTTTTTTTTTCATTTGAAACGTAAACTAAGATCATCATAATAATAAAACTAACCAGTTCTACAAAAAACCAAGGATCGCTCACTTCTGTAAACTGCCCCCATGTTCAAGTTATCTCTGACTACATTTCAAGCCGCCATCAGTTTCTTGTTCACCTTTACAAAGTTCGCTAATCATGTCCTTTAAGTCAAAATACACCCCCCCCCTTCTGTCGCACTCACTCAAAAGACACACACTCGGAAAAGCTCCGCGCCACCTAAACAAGCAGAAAACAGAAACACCGCATACCTCTTCCGTCGGAAGAGGTCACCTCCGTAGTAAATTTCTGGCGAGGGCTCCTCCATCTCAAGGCAAAGCTTATAAGCGGGTTCCAGAGCGTTTTCCGAGTAGGGCAGATGTTTCGGCGATAAGAGGAGGGGTAAGATGCGAGGAGAGGAGCGAAGCGGGGGACGGCGATGGTCATGAGCCGGAGGCTGAGGAGCATCAGAGCTATAAAAGGGAAAGAATGGCTATCGGATGGATGAGGAAGAAAGGCCAAAGGCGCAGGAGCACGACAGCAGAGCTCCACCAGACTCGATTGAGGGTTCAGCTTATTAGGCCTAACCTCGGGTTGGTTACTAACTGGGCTGTTTCATGGGCCAAAGCCTCATTGTAATTCTTTCTTATGTTGGATGTTTTACGTGCATATCACATAGGAATTGATTGGTATGTATGAAATGTCATTATTCTTTTTGTGAATACTTGAAACTTTTTTTCATAAATTCATCTTGCCATTGGGAGGTGAAATATCATGGGTGATTAAAAAAGCCAAAAGCATAAGTAATGTGTGAGTTTGAAATGATATATATATAGAGCCATCAAAAGA